TTACATGGGAAAAATGGGCCCGGCAGATAAGAAGAAGTAGCGAGGCCCGTTTGGGACATGGGTCGTGTGCCTCTGGCGGCTTGCCCATTCATTTTGCCCCATCGTGCTTTGCCCTGCCCAACTTTTCCGGTTGCGACTTGCGACGTGTTCCAGGTAAATTACATGGTGTCCTTATGTACTCCGTAAACGGATACACCAACGCGTCTATTTTTCGATCCGCTCATCTGCTTGGCTTATGCTGATGCCGAATTGTGGATCGCAGTTATCGCCCGACTAACATGCGAACCGACTCAGAGAAAAGAGGTTGTAGGCGTGGACAACGTCTTCGCATGGTCAATTTCTCTGGTTAATATTATCGACGATAATTATTTTTGGCGTGTTCAAGAGCCGTGCTGCGATGGCACACCGCGGAGTAGGCTGCCCTTGAGTTGTGCTTTGAGATACCATCTCCCACCTGAGTGGGCTGAGATGAACTCCTCATTCGAGTCTTGTTACCACAAGCTCGAGACGGCACCGCATCTGTGCTCAGCCAAGATCCCCAGATCAGACGAACGAAAGACCTCGGAGCTTGATCATTGCTGTGATAGAGGAACTCGTACGACACGGCGCAAATAGTCTAGTCGACGCGCGATCTATATGATTAGTTATGGTCAGATCTAGTGCAGGTAGTCGTTGTCGAGCAAGAGCTGTAACATGTTGTAGTTGGCTTTGCTGGGTTGAAGGTTACCGCCACGGCTTCCAAAGCCTCATGCCTGGCAGCCAGCCACGTAAAGACAAAGAATAGCTGGTAGCCAATGAGTCCCTGTTGCTAGTCTTTCTACAGGCAAAAAGAAAGCATCGATGAAGTAAGACAGTTTGGCATTAAGTTCAACCATCCCGAGATGGTCTGCACTGACGATGAAGAAATGCGAGCCACAAATCCCACAATGTCCTCTTTGAGACTTTGGAGTCTTTGGCGTTTTTGCGGGGATGCCGGCCGGGCGGTTCTCGTCGAGTCTGTCAGATGGCGGTGGTGCGCTAGTCCCGTTGTTCCCCTGTCTGGAATCCGTGGGGGTGGGCCAAAGCGGATTGGGGGAAGGCAATATCAACGGGAGTCGTAATCGGTGGAAAGCTCGGGGGTCTGGGGGACTCGGGGGAGACCTCAGACAGGAGAGAGTCGGGGGATTCCTATCGCCCAGACGAATAGGAGCCACCAGATTGGCTGTCTGCTCAGACCAAGCGAACGTATCTGACCGATGGATGGAGCAGACCGGTGACCGTGGAATTGTAAGTTACTCCGTACGAACTAGATTCGTTAGGTCGACGGTGCTAGAAGCTCAGGCTTGATAAACCTCGTGGTGGTGGGCAAATGCGCCGCTGTCCGAGCTGGGCGGCGGCCGGTTGCGCAGTTGACTACCATGAAGAGCGTCGCGGCCGATCGAGGATCAACAGACGGCTTGAAAGTTGAAGCTGAGCTTGCGCGAGGCAACTTTGGTTCGGCATGAGGCTAAGGAATGGAAGCGCCAAAAAGCGAGACATTCGAGACAATGTGGTGGACGCGGGTTAGTTGGCTTGGCAGATTTCGATCGTGACATGGGTATCTCGTCAACCGTGATTGAAGTTGAGCATAGATGCGGATGGAGGCTGTAAAGTTGAGTACTGTGTATGTGCCAGACGTGCCTTCAATGCGCAGCAGCAGCAGCAGGCATCATCGACAATGGCGGTCCATGAGACCTTACGACCGAGGCAATGGAAACGAGGACTTGGGTGCTTGCAAACGAGATGGAGTCTGGAGATGGTAATTAGCTTCTTGATGAGTGGCTGATAAGGTTGACGGAACTTGGAAGGCAGTTGACAAAGGCCAGAACCCTCAACCAAGGAGGGTCAGCTTCCTTATCGCAGATGGCAGATGCGGCCCCGCTCGGCCACGGCCGCTCGCCCCGAGAAGGGCCTAGCTTCGGAGGTGGAGCACCGCCACGGCCAATGGCTTCGGATTCAGCAAGAGCCCCGCTTCCGAAGCTGACAGTCGGGGGGCCGGTTTAGGCAGTTTGGTCGAATCGAGTGGGAGGACGTACCTTATTTAGCTTTTCCGTCTTTCTACCTAGATCTTTAGCTATGCCATGCTGCAGTAATACGGCGCAGGTGTGTCTCTGTGGTCATGGGGAGGAGGGACTTCAAGGCAAGCTTGTGCGGCAGAGCTAGAGCAGGAACAGAACAGAACAGAACATGTATAAATATTCGATTCTCAACACTCGGTACTTGCCGGGGAAACAATAGGAAAGAACCTGGACGTCGTGCGTGATCGAGTCGCCCTGCCCCACTATTTCCTTACACACATTGACAAGACAGAATACCCGGACAGAGGAAGGAGAAGAAGAAATGAACAGCGGGAAGGGAAGGGACGACAGCATTGACAGCGGGAAAGAGAGCACACCCCAGGAAAGACCTATACATAGACACATACCTCTCGGGCAACCGCCAACGTGTGCAACACGGAGTATTCGCAACTTGAGGTAAGTAGGTACCTTATGTGTGTAAGTGCTAAGGCAGGCAGCTGAGATGGAATAAGAAAGGAACCTGTAACGTTGAGCGACTTCCGCCCTTGCCTGGGTGCAGTAGCACCGGAACACACTTGCCCGGATATGCAGTCGGGACCTAAGCCAGCTAGCTGAGGCAAGTTCGCAGGGATCGGGAAGGCGCAAATCAGCAGCATGTTCCATTGAGTTTGATCCTGCCATGGCGACGTGCCCGGCGACATGATGTCCATGTTGCAACTTGCCACGACTTCCATGCTGTGGTGTACACGCACAACACCTGAACATGTACCTTGAGTGCTGTATCAAGGTATCCTGCCCCGTAGGTAGATACGAGTATCTCAACTGATCCTGGAGTTAGGTACTGTGAGGATGGGCGGCTCACCGACCCAAAAAGCCCAGGCTCACACAATGACAACGATATGTGTGCAACATGCCCAGTTCCTTGCCTTAGCTCCGCAGTTTCCACCTGTTGAAGCAGGCGGAACGTATCCGCAATTCATTTACACTTACACTGCCTTAGCCTCTTCTGATGTAGCGCGCCACTGCCGTCTCTTTATGCTCTTTTACCGCAGTTCCTGTCCGACCTTTCTTGCCAGTTGATTGGACCGGTCGCGTTGCGCAACTCTCTTCTCTGGGGATTGATCTGGTCACTTTAAGAAAAAAAGTTAGGGCAGACAGGCCCGCCGCCCAGCAGGGGGACCCGTTCCTCTTCCCACACCCTAAGCTGGCAAGACGCACGCACTTTTGTTGCGACGCTCATTTTCGGCCCCGCCTTCGATTGATATGTGCTAAGATTTTCCACATCTGCTTGTCACTGGCGCATCAAGGACCATGTTGGCCCAGCATATCGCTCTGGACAACCACTACGGATACAACTTCGAACACACGATGAATACTACCCTATTGCGAAATCGAACCCGTCAGACCTTCGAAACCGACTTCCATTTCCCCATGCAATACGGAGTCTCTGCAGCCTGGAACTGGCTGGCTTGCCTGGCCTCGCCTTCAGCTACCAATAGCAAGTACCTTGCGCTGCCGTCGGCCCCCCGGCCTACATACATCCTGCTTAAGCGCCATCTCTTTGTGCTTCGCCATCTCACAGTCACTACAATATCCAATGCTGCTGTCCTTGCATGGCGTCTTCAATGGCGTCTGACACAGCGCATTATTGATGTGACCTGGCAAAGAGCAGCGCGGCCAGAGAAGCCACCACGCCGACGGTCCAAAGCTTTTCTCCTCTGCTGTAGCCTGTTTCTCACAACTGATGCCGTCTCTGGTTAGAAACTCGCATCTTACCACATGGTCACCGTTTGTGTCTGAGCTTTTTGGGCCAATTCTACTTTACGGTACGGAGTACCTATTCTTTGAATACCGTGTTGGCTTCGGAATGGGGCGAGCCCGTTCACAATCCAGATAGCTGGGACGCTGCTTCCGGCCTGTCACTTCTTTCATCGCTCGGGTCCGATATCTTGCTCTTTGCCTGTGCCATTGGATGACATGCCGCGCCGCCGACGCCGCCATGCCACCTACACACGCATGTATCTCGGCGCATCCACAGTTCCACGTTCCACACCCACATGGAGAAGCTCACAGTACAAGTAAGGTATTTGGTTCCCCATTGACCAATTCTAAAGCACACGAGCAGGTCCCAGCAAGAAGGCTGTGCCCAAAAAGGGCTCAGTCTAGGTAGTCGAGTTGAGCTTCTTTCAAGTCTCGGCACATGGCTTCGCGCGCTTCGAGGCCGGTACCGCCATGCCATGCCATGCCACGCCATGCCCGCCGTCCGTGTATGCACCGACTGAGACAAGAACTCGGTGAAGTTGTTACGACTGCATGCGAGAAATAAAAATCGGGACCAGGATAAGGGCGTCGCGCTAGTCCTTGGGGAGGCTCGGATGTTGGGCCCTAGAAGGGGGTGCCGCGACCCTTGGCTTGGCCTCGCCTTCGTCCATCGAAGCACACCTCACTCACTCTATCCTCCGTATGGATACCAATACCACACACTCACAGTAAGGTAACTCTCCAGAAATTCACCCCCCGGTTCATCTCCCATCTCACTCTCTTGCTCTCCCATGCCCATCCCAGCTCCCAGTTGCCATCTTGGTCTTGGCAACCTCAGCTATCCGGACAAAATGCAATGGACACAACTATTTTTTGATCCACCACGCCTGGGCCCTTGCCATGCTTCCCACCCACCCCTCCGACGATCCAGCAAATGATAATCCATCACACTAATAAATAATGGCTCGAGATTTTCTTTGATAACGCGACTGGCCGTTGTCGTCCGTTCACAAGGAGGAGGGGGGCGCGGTCCGTTGCCTCTATCCTGTTTATGAACTCTTGCCCGTGCCAGTCCTGGCCATTGATAAAAACCATCCACCGTTCCGCCCTCTTGGGTTTGTCGATGTTGTCTCTCTAGGCTCGCCTCCCATCCTCCCGCCAGCTTCCTCTAATCGGTGCCTCACAGGCCTCTCCCGATTCCAATCTCATCTCATCCCCCATTGGGCTCCCCCCCCCCCCCTCTCCTCCCTCGCAGTTGTCAAGAAAACTAGTTAAGAAGCCCGGCTTCGGCTTGTCTTGCTTTTACTTGCTTTTCCTTCGCAAGCTCGATCTTTCGACATCGTTGCCGCGCCGCAATCTCACTTCGGGCCTTGTCAGACAAGACATCGATCAGATCTCGGAGACAACATTTCTTTTATTTATTTTCTCTTGCCGATTATATTCCTTATCTCTGGCAAAGGCTACCTCATTCCCAAATTCAATATCGACTGTTCGAAACATTAGGGAACTGGAAAAATACAGAAAGGACGAAAAATTTCGTGCAAAAATGGGGTTCGTCCAGAAATGGAACGCCAAGATCGCCGCCGGCCCGGTTGGTCGGTGGTTCCAGCTCGAGGGCTCCGGTCATGTAAGTCACCAATTCCCAACGACCCGTCTCCCATTCCTCTGAGATGGCCTCACACGCCCGTCCTGCGCAAAATGCGCAGGGCAGCAGGTCCTACAGCGATGAGTGACGGAATGCTAACATGACATGCGTGAAAAGCCCTGTGAGCGCATCGGATCACTCTTCTTCACTGAAATGCGCGCCGGTCTCGTCGCCTTCTTCGCCATGGCCTACATTATCGCCGTCAACTCCTCCATCGTTGCCGACTCCGGCGGTACTTGCGTCTGCCCGCGCACCGCCGACGACTTCACCTGCGACAAGGACCAGGACTACTTGCTCTGCGTGGCAGAGGTCAAGCGCGACATCGTCACCGCCACCGCCGCCATCTCGTCCCTGGCCACCTTCTTCATGGGCCTCCTCGCCAACATGCCCGTCGGTTGCGCTCCCGGTATGGGCTTGAACGCCTACTTTGCCTACTCCGTCGTCGGTTATCACGGAACCGGTGCCGTCCCCTACCAGGTCGCCCTTACCGCCATCTTCATCGAGGGCTTCATCTTTTTCGGCCTCGCTCTGCTCGGTCTGCGCCAGTGGCTTGCCCGCGCCATCCCGCGCTCCATCAAGCTCGCCACCGGTGTCGGTATCGGTCTGTTCCTCACCCTCATCGGTCTCACCTACAGCGAGGGTATCGGTCTGATTGTCGGCGCCACCTCCACCCCCCTCGAGTTGGCCGGCTGCATTGCGAGCGAGCAAGTCGACGGCCTCTGCCCGTCCTCGACCAAGATGCGCAACCCCACTATGTGGATCGGTATCTTCTGCGGTGGTATCTTCACCGTCATGCTCATGATGTACCGCTTCAAGGGCGCCATCCTAGCTGGTATCATCCTCGTCAGCATCATCTCCTGGCCCCGCGGCACCTCCGTCACCTACTTCCCTGACACCCCCATCGGCGACTCCAACTTTGACTTCTTCAAGAAGGTCGTCGACTTCCACCCGATCCAGAGGACCCTCAACGTCCAGGAGTGGAATGTCGGAGGATACAGCGGTGCTTTCGGCCTGGCCCTCATCACCTTCCTGTACGTCGACATTCTCGACTGCACCGGTACCCTCTATTCCATGGCCCGCTTCGCCAACCTCATCGACGAGGAGACCCAGGATTTCGAGGGCTCATCCGTCGCCTACATGGTTGATGCCCTCAGCATCTCCGTCGGTGCCGTCTTCGGTACTCCCCCCGTTACCGCCTTTGTCGAGTCCGGTGCCGGTATTTCTGAGGGAGGCAAGACTGGTCTGACTGCCATGGTCACCGGTATCTGCTTCTTCATCTCCATCTTCTTCGCTCCCATCTTCGCTTCCATCCCCTCGTGGGCCACCGGCTGTGTGTTGGTTCTTGTGGGATCCATGATGGTCCGCGCCGTCACCGAGATCAACTGGAGGTATATGGGCGATGCCGTTCCCGCCTTCATCACCCTCGCACTCATGCCCTTCACCTACTCCATTGCCGACGGTCTCATCGGCGGTGTCTGCAGTTACATCCTCATCAACGGCCTTGTCTGGGTCATTGAGAAGGCCTCTGGCGGTCGCATCGTTCCCCACAACAAGAGCGAGAAGGACCCCTGGACCTGGCGCATTCCTGGCGGCATCCTGCCTCCCTGGGTCCGCCGCCTTGCCAAGGGAAAGAAGGACTTCTGGCGCTCTGACGAGCACCGCCAGACTGCCGCTTCCGAGCCCCAACCCCTGGAGAAGACCATCAGCTCCGAGCAGGGTGGCTCTGTTACCGGAAAGGACAAGGAGATTGGAGAGACCATCACCCCCCACGGTGACAGGTCCTCATCATAGTCGGAGTAAAAGAAGTCGTTTTCGAGGAGTTTTGTGGGATATCAGTCATTTAAGTACCACATTGGGGAATTGGATAGGATACCCGAATGATGATGCAGTTTCGTCTATTATTAATTGCCTTTCGTTGAAAGTACGATAGAACCAATCTAAGATAAATGGTGGATCATCCCATCAGTGTTGATAACCCCATCTAATGATCAGTTCCCGTGGTATGTAATACGTCCGGCTCGCTGAAAAATGCTTGGCTGCACACTCAAGCCTCGTCCGTGTCATCACTGCGGTTGGAGACAGTTGAAGGACCGTTGCCAGCGACATCGAAAGCCTCGTAGGGTACAGGTGTTCCGCCTTCGCCTCCAGCCTGCTCCATGGCTGCCAGCCTAGCAGCGCGGCCTTCCTTCTTGCGCGGTACTGGTGCTAGAGAAGGTATCAGCTTACAGGTTCCCGATGTTCATTTCTTAGCAGTGACTTACCTCTTCCATTCTCCTGCACGTAGAATCTCCGCAGTAAACCGACAGCTTCGTCGCGGCCCCAACCGCCTTCTGCTTCGAAGCCTGGCTCAACGTTTCCACCATCGCCACCTCGGCTCGCGGGACGATTACTGTTGAAGGAACTCTTCGCAGATGCAGAGCTGACCGGCCTTGGAACGTTGGAGGCATTGATCTGGAGCGGCCTGAGAACAGTGACTGGGTTGGGGTCTTGGCGGGTGTCTGTAGAGTTCTTGTGGATGCTGAACACGCCACCAGTTCCGCCAAACTTGTCGTTGACAGCGCCGAAGTAGACCTTCTTGATACCAAGTTGTCTAAGCAGACCAGCGCACATGACGCAGGGCTCGACTGTGACGTAAAGAGTGCACTCCCGGACGATAGAGCGGTCGACCCGAGGATCGAGATGAAGCTTCTGGCCGTAAGGGTAGAGGTGACCTTTCCTAACATACTCGTCGTCGTCGGGGAACAAGTCCGATTCATCGTCAGGAACGTCTACTTTGGAACGTTCGCTGGCCTGTTGGCGAAGCTGAGCATCGACGGCCTCCTCACTATTGTTGGGTCGGTAGGACAGCAGTGCAGACAATGCCATGAATTCAGCATGGCGGGTACCGTTTCGAGTCACGTTCGTGGCATTCATGCCTCTCGCAATGACCGATCCGTTGTGGGCAAGGACACAACCAACGGGCGTCTCGTTGGTTCGCAGTGCTAGTCGAGCCTGGATACGAGGTCAGAGATATTCCATTGCAATGAAGGTACGTCCTAGTCATTCTAGCTGCTTACCATATCCAATGCCTGGTCCATGAGCGCCTGGTGCATAGGTCTCTCGCTGAGAGGCGTGAGCGTGGTCTGAGAAATGGAAGCTGATGATCGCGGCCGACCGACAGACTCAAGGCTCATACGGCTCAAAGCCGCAGCTGGTACGGGGACCACAGGGGCACTGGGCTGGTTCTCCTTGTCATCTTCCAGAGCGGGAATGGAAGCTTTGCTGGAGGATTGTAGAGGCAGCACTGGTACAGTCGACTGACTGTGTTGAGTAAAGACGCCAGCCATTTCTGGGGCTTCTCCCACTGATGTTTGTCCTGCCTGGCTTGGCTGTGTTTGGGCGGTTGTTGTTGATGGTAGTTGGGAGGAGGGGTCTGAGGTGGGTGAGGAGGATGACGGTGGCTTGGAGATGGGGATGAATGAGGTTTTGAGGCGGCAGAATATGTTTTGCAGGAACTTGCTTGTCGAAGCCCGCTTTCCTCTATCTTTGTCCTGCGTTCCAGTTCCAGGCCCAGACTCAGGCCCAGGTCCTCCCGAAGGGACATCTGAAGAGGCAGGAGCGTCCATGGTGAACTGTTGAGGAAGGGACCAACTCGGTGCCTGCCTTTCTACCTTGCCACACCACAGTACTTTCACAAATTCAATCCACTCAGCGCGACTGGCACTAAGGTGCAGACAGCACCTGATGACCTAAAAATGCTGACAATCGTTGCCTGCCCGAAGAGGTGAGAATGGAGGCTATTTGCTCTGTGTATAGCCTGGGTCCAACCAAGTCCGTAGTAACGGGCTGAACTACGGTACTCTCGGCAAGTGGCAAGATATCGAGAGGTTCTAGGACGACGCAGGATATGGCGTATTTCGATACTGGCCCAGGTAGGTCGTTCCAGACTGCAGCCTACCGGGTCAGGTAGACATACACCCGAAGCAATGTAGGGTAAGGTAAGATGTGAAGAGATATCGTCTCTCGCGAGATATTTCTTTGTCGCTGTTCTCTCTGCTCGAACAAGAATCCGGTTTGTCAAGGCCCTTTGTTTGACAATTGACTGGGAAAGTTTGAAGACAGCAAAAAACCGAGTTTTCAACGAGTGTCACAGGAGTTCTGAAGTTGTCTGTTTCCTTGTCTGGCTCTGTTGCAGCAGTCCAGGGCAAGACCGTCTAACGATACTTGTCCTGTTGAAGTCAGGCGTGAAGTAAAGCCTTGATGAGCGCCTGAAATGACACAATTTACGATAATGGGTGCTTGTTTTTTTTTTAAAGGTTGCCCTGACTGGAACCCTGAGTAAGTGGCAGAGTAACAAACAAGGATGACTCAGTCTGGCCGTGGTCAGCATACGTCGTTCCAGGAAATTAAAACAAGTAAACCTGTTTGGCTGGTTTGCTACTCACTATGGCAAAGGTATAGCTTGTTAGTCACGTATCCTCAGCTAACTTCTAAGAAGCCGAGGTTGAATCAGTCTTTGCACCAATCTACCCTAATGTCATGGATGAAGTTTGCATTAGGTGGGAACACATGGTATCACGTGACACTGCTGTCAAACGGTGGCACTGGCCACTTGGCTCCTTTGAAATACTTGAGTGTACCCTTTCTAGGGTACCTTCTCTATGCAGAGATTGAAGATGAAGTTTACGTTCGAGATCTTGGGTGAGACCATCTAGACGACCAGAATAGCCATGTCCACATACGACTGCACATTAATTGAGAGTAAAGACACAGAGGTGTGAGCAAGGCAGTTATATTATATCGCACTATGCTACCACCAAGTTCAACTAGACTATACAGCAGTTCATACACAACTGCTCAGTGTCCAGCATACTGGTTCCAGCCTGTACAACAGAACACGACCTTGCCCGATGATATAGCTGACATGCATCCCATTCTTGAAGAATGCACGCCTCATCAAAAAACAGAGGGGTATCTCGGAAAAACAACGCTCCCAATAGACAGCAACGAAAACACCACGACAGCTATCCTATCCATACAAGCTAGGGCCATGAGCCCAAGCCGCAGGTCGACACAAGATCTCATAAGAAACCTTGCGCGAGGCCCAGAACCCGTATCCGCACCCCGTTAGCCGGGGCTTGTGCGGATTGGTTCTGTCGACAGGTACGTCGTAGTCTCGTGCTGACACAGGAGAGAAGCCTCGCGCCGTCGCTCAAGCCCTGCGGCTTTGGCGTGGCGGTCCCAAGATGGCTCTGTTCCGGTCTCGAGTCATGGAGACTTGAGTAAGAGTGGTAGACCTTGTATATCGCTAGGCCAACAGCGAGTTGAATGAGTCGGCTGGCAAACGCCTGTGCCTCGAGTACTTGCGCAACCAAACCGAATACAGTCACAAGGAGTGCCGCGTATACTAGGCACTGCGACTTGGACAGCCAGTCGACGAGAGAGCGGCGCTTGCATGTCAAGCTACCACCCACAACCGCCTCCGTCAGAGCGTGTACTCCGCCTAGTACAAAGACGCCAGCAGAGGATTGGGTGACGCTTTGCGTGGTGGTGTGACAACTTTCTGATGACCTTGGCGTGGCAAGCTGGAGCTGAGCATCCGAAGAAATACTGCTGGACACTCCGCTGGCAACTGCTCCATTACCATTAGCGCCATTGCCTGTCCTCGTGGTACGCGCGTAACAAGACGCCTCCTCGACGACGGTCGAGGAGCGCGAAGACGCGACGACAGCAGACGTTGGCAAACGGCCGATTACTCCGGGTAGTATGCTGAAAAGTGGAGCAGCATGTACTCCCGAGAGATCGATAGCAGAGCGGGACGTGACATGTGGCAGTGGTAGTAATTGTGGTGAGCTTGGTTGCAGGGCTGAGGTCGCAAGCCGCTGTGAGCGTACACAGCGTGCTGTTGCATTGACGTCGGATAGGCTCGATTGAGACTCAGACTCGATCTGTTTAAACGTTAGAATAAGTTTGGGTTGTGCCGTGCAAGGGATGATACGAACCAGTGAAACCATTGAAACGCTCGGTACTCCAGCACGTTCTGTCACAGACGATGGACGTTGACGGTGACGGTGACGGCGATCTCCGATTCTGGGTCCTCCCAGTGCAGTTCCGCTCACCGATACTCCGCTCTCGCCTGCCAAGTAATCATCTGGCGCCGGTGAGCGATCGAGGTACACTTGTTGGTGAACTGACGCCTGGCTGCTTTGAGGCGAGCCACAGCGCTGAGAGTGTGTGCTCTGAGCCCTGGTAGCAGTGCCAATGTCACTGAGCAGCGCAACATCGTCATCCAGGAAGCTTGGCTCGGGCGAGTAGAGATTGAAGTCGACGTAGTTGCTGATACGTGGGGAGGAGTCCAGGTAAGGGAGCGCCGGTGGCCGGACATCGAGCTCGTCGGGGAATGGCTTGCTGGCAACATTTTGAATGCCATCGGAGCCATCCCGGGACTGGCTAGATACCATCGAGGGAGTAATGGGAGACTGGCTTGACTCGGGAGTGAGATGTCCCGCGGGGTCGAAGAAGAAGTCGTACTCGAAAGGAGTGACGTTGGCGGGCTCGTCGTCGAACTGGACGAAGGACTCCCAAGAATCTGCCATGTTGAGCAAATCGAGGTCCGCGAATGAGGATTCTGTAAATAACCCTGGTGTTGAGAACGATGTGCTTGCTTGTGGTGGACTTTCTGTGGCCACGGGCGAATCCCTCTTCGATGTCTTGGCCTTCTTCGCCAACCGCGCTGGCGCGGTAGTGGCACCCTGAGCTTGTGTGGCGGCACGCTTCTTATGGCTGGGATCGCACTTGACCTTCTTCTTCTTGCAGGCGTCGCATGCCTTGATGATGCGCATCAGATGCGCATGGTCACGCTGCTCCTTGGTTTTGCACCCGCGGGAAGCAGAGTTTGTAACATCGCGACCATCCTTCGTCATGATCTTCATCCCGGGGAGGTGGGAGAAGTCGTTAGCCACGGGCTTTGTCGCAGAAGATGCAGCTCTCTTGGACGACTTAGAGCACACGGATTCCTGGCTGCTGGACATGGGAGTAGATGCAGAGGCCGAGCTAGGGGTAGACTGAGACCAGGACCAGTCGGAGATGACAGGGGAGACGAAGTTGGAGCTGCTGCTCGAGTTTTGCATGGGGCTAGATCCGGCGGAGGAGGTCGCGGAGCTGCTGGATTTGCTGACAACGGGGTAGTACTTGAAGGTCTCTCCGGTGAGCTGGGAGAATGCAAAGAAGTCCATGGAGACGGTGGCGCGCTTCTCCTGGATGGAAGCAGAGCCGGGAAGGTAGGCGTTGACAAGGTTGTCGAGTTCTTGGGTACCCATCTCAGGGTAGAACTGCAAAGACGCGCCGAGGAAAGGCTGAGAGATGGAGAAGCCTTGGAAGGTGGCGGTAGACTGGTTTCGTATCACGCCGGACATTGCGTTGATGGTCTTGGCTACGGAAGGTATGCAGCGAAATGTGAAAGATATGGTGACGGGGGGTCGGATCCCTGTAGCAACTAGGACCGAATTGTTTCCCAGGTCTGTTGAATGTTTGCTAATGAGAGTAAGTAAGTAACTGTTTGAACGGCCTCATATTCTATATCAAACTGCCTAGACTTTGCGTACACCGAATTGAGGTGGGATGAGGAGAGGGAGGTTGTTCGCGTTTACGTGAGAGTAGTACAAGATACATCGTGCTGGTAAGGTGTCTGAATCCCCAGATCCCTACTGAGGAACTACATGCTGCCTTGGGAATCGCGGCGGGACACTATTCTCGGATAGAGATAAAAGCTCACCTTGATAGGAAGCTCTCTTTCGAGGCGATTTCCGATACGAAATTGGTGTAAGCCGGATGATGAGCTTTGATGGGAAATTGTCTTTGGAGACGAAGCTTGCAAGAAGCAGGTATTTTGTCAGCAACTTGGATTCCAAAGTTGGCTGATGGAGTATTGTTGGAGGGAAAAGTTGCGGGACAAGAGACGGGTCAAGGGAACTTCTCCAGCTTCGGAGTAGCTTCACTCGAGTCTGCTAATCGACGTATTTGGCTTTTCAGTATTGAAGAATTGAAAAGAGAAGTTCGAGAGGGAAGCGGGTGAGCCAGGCCGGAGTCATGGATGGTATTTCACTGCTGAGGCCACAACTGGTTGTCCATCGGTACCCCAGCAAGGCGCAGCCCGTGGTTTTGATTGAGCTCGTCGGCGAGATGAAAGCGGTTTAGCGTAATGCGGACGATGTCTGGGGACTAGGCCAATCAGAGTTGCATACATGGGCTTTGAGATCCACTTGTAAGCGTTTCATTGGCCCATATGTCCCACATTTTGTGAGCCGGGCGCTGGGTTTTCGGCGAGTATACTCGTCTCTCATTGGTCAATGACGTCCAGTCTGAGGTCACGTGGTCTGGGTGACTCAACCCATAGCCAATGGCGGCCGCCTGAGGCTTTAGACAATCAGTCATAATCTGTCTGAGGTCTTACTGACCTTCGTTCACAAGCCCCTGCCACAAGCAACGACGTACCAAAAGGTATCCCATACATACCCCGTACCTGTCTCATGCATGGTGACCCCGGGAGGAAGACGTACGGATACAGATGATACCAAAGGTTCCCCAGACGCAGCACAACATATGTATGGAGTACGGATGCTCTCTTCACTTGGGAGGCTGGCAGGATATCAATGGATCCTGTCGTGATCTCGTAAGCGGGGTGGTGCGCGGTGAACCCCACATATCACGAATTCCCTAGCTGGAAAGAGCCAAGATTCAAGAGTGCCAAGTTACGCCGGGTACATGAGGCTTAGGACAGCCAGACTGGAGGAGATCAAGGTACCAATCTGTACTCCGTACAAGCTTTATCTTGCCTTCCGTTCCGTGCCGGAACCTCTCTGGGTTAAGCTTCCAAGGCACCTCTCGAGGCTTCCTGGCTTTGAACCTCTCTGGGTTGCCAATGCCACCACATTGGGGCGGAATCTGTCCGGTTGCTGACAAGTGTGTGGCTGACCTCACCTAATTGGTCCAAGGCAACCAGGGTGTCATACCAGTTAGTACAATACGAATATCCGTACAGGCTGTCCGTAATCTGCAAATGGGCCAAGCACGGTACTTTTGCTGTGTTATGGGCGTGCCGTTGTGACGCTAGTTTGGTCCTTCGGACTTGAGGAAATCCTTTCCGCTCCGTTCAGCTCAGTCGACAGTCAGTAATGTCGTTCACTACCTAGCCCAAGTTTCATATAGTTCGAATGAACGAGGCACAGTTAGCAAGAGAAAACTGAATTCATATACCCACGGCTCCTCACTCGTCCCTGCTTTCTGTTTCTACCGTCAATGAAGAGCACTCGTCTGATGAAATGACGAAACAAAGTTCCCAGCTTGTCCGCTTGCTGGTCAGTCAGGATAGGAGCAGTTGTCGATACGACCACATCCACCAGATTCTCCCCTGTCAATTCTTAGACACCCTGCTGTCTTCTCATATCTCGTGGCCATGTTGCGTTGCTGAAGATATTTTGCCTGTCGAAATTCGAATTCCCGGACTTTGAGACCCTGTCAATGAAGACTCCCTTCAGTATGAGATCATTGCGTCCCATAGGAGTTAGCTTCCTTTCGCTTCTGCTCTCAACTGCAACGTTTGTTTCTCGTGTATTATTTTGCCAATGCCGTGAATCCGTCTAGCATACCGACGGCCTGAGTCGAGAACCTGCCGAACCGGAATCACAACACACCTTAGCAACTGGGCATATTTAAACTTGAATGGCAAGTTTGCCTGGCTCGCAGAATCAGGGAACTCTGCACAGCAAGTCATTGTCACTGGTCATCGGCCAAACCGTCCTCGATCTGAGACTAAGCAGCGGCAGTCAATAGCTAGGAGACGTAACGGCACAATTCGCCTACACGCTTTTAAGATGCTCTACGCGATGTCTTCGTGTCATGTTATGGAACTAAAAGCCTTGCAGTGTTGCTATAGCATGAGATATGTCCGGGGTCGTTGCAATAATACTCGCACTAGATGGAGGTGGAGAGGGAAGGCACAAAACCAGGTGTATGTCAGACGTATCTACGCCATGAGGCAGTTCCTTTCCATTGATCTCTTTGAAAATTACATGTAAGTCTTTGATTATTTCTCGAGGGGGCCGCGGCAGTAAGGTTTGCCCTGAAGTCAGAAGTGGTGTAAGAGGAAGTGCGTGGTCGTTTACACGTGAGTTTACGACCTTGCAAACCTTTGTCTATCTGAAAAGCTCTGGAAATTTGAGTGTCCTTAGAATCACAGCCCTATAATTTAAAAGCGAGGAAGGGTGTCTTCACGAAGAACCTGCCGAGCCCAATCATTTGTTAATAAGTAACGGCTTGATGCCGAGCTTCCTAAATGCTTGCTTGGCCACCGGTCTCAGGCATGTAAGTCGACCTGATAGACACCGCTCTGAATACCTCTATAATGAATAAAACGACGACAAAATATTACCAAGGCCTGTGACGTAGCGGGAAAATTCCTGAGTGAATGGCCCCGCTTGCACGGGTCGAGAGTTCGAGTCTCGTGAGAAATCACTAGCATCGTTACACTTGAGTAATAAGCTGTAACACCTTCGCAGTGATTTTCGAAAGCCCCCCGTGAGGGAGGCTGAGCTTTTGCATTATTCTTACATTCATCAGATTTAAGTGCATACATGCGCAGTCTGCGGTCGGAGCTGTGGTATGGGAGGAGGTATGAACATATAGTGATGGTATCATTTTTCCAGAGGCCTCACCGTTCACCACGTGACCTCTATTCCACACTTACCGCGGCCAGTTCCTCTCCACCGACCGTATTTTCGGACGATATTCGCCCCTGCGTCCCAAGTTTCGGCATATCATCGCTCTCTAGCTATGACATACTTCGATGCTTGATTTGTGGTCATAGAAGAGACGAGGTCGTAGGTGTCTTGCACCACTCGGACAGATTCAACGAAGATTCGCTACCTTGTAGACGTATTGAATAAGACCGAGTCTCACTGAAAGATTTTGTCTGAGCTAGCGCCAATATACGGTAAACTTATTGATACGCAAGTCTAGTTCATGTGACTGACCACAGACTACATGCAAGGCCTAGGTAATGTGGGTAGACTTAGTGGCCCTGGAGAGTCGATATGACTGATGCTGTTCACGAGAAGACGCGCGGCGCAAGTTCAATCATCAGCAGAGGCGAGCGTTTGCACTGGGACAATGGGCAAGTGAGTTAACCATCAATGGCGGACGATGAAGTTCTTATCTGTTATTTCAAGGGGTCTGTCCCATCTACAGCTTGTTGGACTATACCCGCAGCCGTTCATCGGAAATGCTGGGAGGAGTCTCCTAACTGGCTCCGATACGTTCAATTCCCGCATCCAAGGTGCCTCTGATGCAAACTCACTACATTGTTACCATCATGAGAAGAATCGACTCTGGACTGACGGTTCGCGAAGCTCGTCGAGGTCGGTCTCGAGAATTAAAGGCCTATCCAGCCTAGCTAGTATAGTGTTGCAATCCCTCGAATCAATCCAAATTATTCGACTTTCAACCGTACTGCATCCGCGTAGCTTCACACTGGGTACTGGGCTACAATGCTGGCAGCGAAAAATTCCCAAAGATATCCTCACTTTCGTAGATCAAGCGTGCGGCGTGTGCGAGATGCTTCAGACCTGCCTATCAGAAACGCGATATTGAAACCGCGTTTAAAGGGCCTGGATCGAGCGAGCTCCGTGATGTCACCTGTCCGCCCGTATACTTGTCGGGATGCCTCATCATGTTGTGTTGCTGGCCTCGTCACCCGGGTCTTGTGCATCCCATCAAATCGTGAGCCTCCTTGCTCCATGGACCTCCATTTGCCCTTTGAAATCCTGGAAGAGGCTTTTTGGACTCGCCAGCCATCACGTCAATCTCAGTGCCAGCTCTTGCCTCTAGTCTATTGATACCTCTGCTGAGGTTCCTACTAGTAGATATTTCAAGGTTGGCCGGCAAGACTGGCTCTGGGACAGTGCCCATAGCATCTGACTTCTGTGCCGCTTTCCGGCCCCTCGTTGCTGGGTTTTCTAACCGGGTCGCTTTGGTAGACCTTGTGACTGCTGCTTGTTGAACGCCGTCGGACGTCTTGGACAACGAGGAGCCGGCATCAGAATGAATACCAACAGTAACCGGGGCCTCTCTCTGAGGGGTTGCAACCGCGGCCGAACTTTCGAGGGGTACGCGAGGTGGTCTTCTGTTGAACGAGCCAATGATTTCCTTACTTTTCACAGTCCTTCGGCCGAGAGATGCTAAACGCGGGCCTGGATTGATGTTTATCTCTTCTATGTCGTTTTGCCGGTCCGGGCTTCGTCGAGTGTTTCGTTTCCTTAGTGTCCGCGCTGGCGGCAAGGAGTCTCTGGATGATCGAAGATCTTCCTCGTCGGAGATTTCGGGCTGAGCAAGACTCTTAGCCTTAGCCATCTCGTCGGATTGTTTGTGGCCCTCCACCCTATCAACCCTGACATCTGCCTCCGGAGCAGGTTCTGCGTAGCTGCCGTCCGTCGGATGCCCTGGTGAACTTTCGACAGGCAAAACAGACGGTGCTGGAAGACTAGTAGGTTCCGAGGGATCGACGTCTGTCGTGGTCTGTCCGTTTGACGGGCTTGGCCCAGTTGTGGGTGAGCCCAGTCGTCTTCCTTTGTTCTTTGCGGTGGCCTTCCTAGAGACCATCATCAGACCGCGCTTTTCTCTCGTCTTGATGCGGAGTTTGGTTTTTGGTTCTTCTGGATCTGTAGCCTCATTGTTTCGCACCGAAGGCCTTTCTGGCGCCGGCACTGCTAGTATCGAAGAGGTGCTTTCATTCTCCGGGAGATGTTCGCGAATTCCGGGCGCCTTCCTCTTTGCCGTTGCTGGAGCACGAGGTCGCGCAGGTTCGGAAACAGCGTCCTTGTCAGGCTGAGCATCGGTCGCGAGAGTAGCAGCTTTTTGTATGCTATCTTGCGACTTCCCAGTGCCCTTTCTTCGGTCTATTTGCTTTGGGGCATCGACGTGTTTCTCAGGTTGATGACTGACAGGGCCCGGCACTTCTCTAGGTTCTTCGATGATTTCCACGTCCTTTTCCACTGACATGTCTCTATGGACATGCGCACTTGGTCTCTTGAAGGGACTTTGGGCTAGCGAGGCTTCTTTTGCTGGCGCACTGGTGTTGCTTGTGGCCGGAATCTCCGACACGTCTGTGATCGAGGCTGTGGCATTTCTCGCTGGTACTGCGGCATCGACGGTCAAATCAAAGACTGCAGAAGGCTCTGGCCTAGAGGGTCTGACGCTTTTGCTTGGAACAACTGGGCGAGGTGGTGCCTCAGAGGGAACAACGCTTCTTGGTGTCGGTGCTGGCTGACTCCGTACTGGGGCGCTGGCTGACCAAGATGATAGATTGAGGGTTGCTCCAAACAGATTTTGGGCGTAGCCTGACTTGCTGGGCGGCGATGCCTCTCTCTTCCTCCTCTTGGTGGGCCTTTGAGCGTCTTCCTGAGGACTCGAAGATTGCTGAGCTGCTTTCAGATCTTCATATGGCGATGTTTTTGGGATCACAGCCCTTCCATGTGGCCCACGAGGAGTGGTGAAGACGTCAGACAGATGGCGTTGCCGATATTGGGCTTGGGGATGCTGGACTGAAGGCGGTATGGGTGGATGGGGCTGGTTTGCAGTGTTGGCAGCAGAGCGAGCATGTCGCTGTTCAACCTCCTTGGCTCTCTTGTCGAGGAGCTCAGTCAAATCTTGGTCCTTGCTACCGATACACTCGGCGACTTGGACTATGACGGCTCCGCGCTCCAAGTTGAATTCTTCGCCTTCCCCGAAGTCGAAGTCTTCCCGCCAGTGCATATCGCCAATGAAATTTCCTCTTTCATCGTAGACCATAATACGCTTGTTGAACGTATGAAACTTGAGGCGACCATCCTGCCATCTTTTTTGTTTTCTTTTCAGATCGTGAGTGAAGAGGCATAAATGTTCCAACACGGGGGCGACAATCGGGAGTCCAGAGCCCATCTGGCTGTTCTGGTTGCCATTACGGCTGGCGAGAGGCATTGTGATCAAGACGATAGCCGCGGCCAAAAGCAATGAGCAGCATGCTGCCTGTCGGAAGTGTGAAATTTTAGACGGCGATATGCATGTCGTGCCTACCCAATGACGAAGATAGAGGTGAAGCCTGGTGGACGCGACTAAGTTTGGCGCGTGTTCAGGACCAAGTGAGACGCCAAGTCACATGATGGGCACTTCCGGTGCAGTTAGTCCGGCCAGCCCCTTCCTTGCTCTTTAGGTAGGTGCCTCCTCATCTACAAGTTCCTGGAGCTGCTGAGGTAAGGTGAAGCGAGCACTAGGCTGCAGCTTGGATGAAGGAATGGTCCTAAACAAGAAGTGCTTGATGCACCCCGTTCACACCGCAGTGAAGCTGTGGAAAAGTTGGCGATTTCAAATGGAAGTAATCTATTGAGCAGAGAGCGCCTGGGTAAAATTGACGTGATATCGTCTGTCAGGTACCCGGTACGTGGGGTGGGTGTGGTAGGTTCGGACGGTGCCCGCGGCTTCCCTCCCAGTTTCCAGGGTTTGATAGGATCTTCCTGGTTCGCTACGTATATTATTTATGAAATATCTAGCGACGCGTTCAGCACGTGTAAACATTGAATCGAGGGCCCAGGCAATTCAACCAACATGATACAGTTCTCGATGTCGTGGCCAGCTATGTGGTGTGAGAAGTTAACCTGAACGACTCTTGCAAGCCTGCAACATGGGAAAGTCAAGGGACGAACGAGAATTCACATGTGTTATTCCCCTCAACATGGGTTGCCAATGGCCCCTCTTCCTGCGAAGTATTCTTACCTTGCCCGACGGATACCTACCTTACCTTTCGCCCCTAGGTATCTGCTGAGGTATCGACCATCTCATGGCGGGGCAGATCAGGTACCGTCAGGTCCCGTCTGAACGCCAAGCGGGCTGGGTGACTGGGAATGGGCCTTGGCTGTCTTCTTGTGGTGGAAGCCGAGTGGGCTGAACCAGTGCCGGCAGCCGATCATAGCTTCAGTACCTCGGTGTACTTTAGCTACCACAGGGTCACGACCAAGTGACCGACTTCGAAGGACTCAAGTCTCACCGCCTGGGGGGCTTGGTTGCCTGCTGGTTCGCACCAAGGATTCATCATGACCGCCCAGGTTTGTGTTCCACGGGGCATAGGCCAGACCATCTGTGCCTATGGTTCGTTCAATTGACCAGAAAGATGGAATCCCCTGGTCTTGTCCAAGGCAATCGCGGCACGGCACGCCACAACCAACCTCAGCCAACCCCAACCGGTTGGCAGTGACTCGATGTTATTCGACTTGGGGCTGCTCTGCCATGTCTTCGATCTTGTTCCTTGTTTCAGTCCCGGACAGCGACACCCGGACAGCGACACGAGGCCGGTTCTAAAGACACCTAACTACCCTCAAGTGAGGTAGCAGTGAGTGCTGTACAGAGTACCCGGCAATGACACATAGCTAAGGTAAAGAATCCATCGACACGAATAACAACAGCATGATATATGTCCACTCCACAATGGCCGAGCCTCGTCTTGCGCATGCTGGGCTCTTCCATATGCTGACCCGGTTGGCTGGGCTGCCCGTTTGTGCCAAAAAATATTGGCGGCGTAATTAATCCCGGCCCCCAAATTGCTCTGCTCCCCTCCTTGAAGTGCCAAAAACTATTCATTCCCCGTACAGAGTATTCGTTCGTAATTTTCTCCGCTTCTATGCCCTCCTGTCCAGCGTCGGGTCTAGCCAGTCATCAGTCCAAAGGTAACCCTCCACATCCCGTCTTCACGCAACCGCTACTTTAGCTAACCTCACTAGGTAGCCAGACACAGCCTTATTCGCTGCTCTTCACCCAAGTATCTACCTGCTTTACCTATCAGTGCTACCTACCTCACATAGGTAGGCAGGAGCATCCCGACAACACGGCTCGTCGGCAAGCTTGAGCCGTTGCTACTCGTCTGCGCACCGCCGCTCTCCTTCTTTACTCCTCTCAAGAATCCAACCCCTCCTCTATTCCTCGACCAGCGCTGCGACACAACCTCGCCAAACGCTGCCATCAGGCCCCGGCCAACCCCTCCTTGCCATACTTCGTCGCTTGGTCTACAGTGGAAAAGTGTAAACATTCGCCCATCCGTCGCTCCATCTGCGCCTCGCCGAGTGTAGCACCGCACTATCACTTGTCCCCGAGATCGGAATAGTCGCCACCTGCAAGCGAGCTGCTCATCCTTAATATGCAGTCCATGCAGAGACAATTCGGCAAGCTCATGAACAAGGGCCCCGGGGACAATGCCAAAATTGCTGCCGTCTTACACGACTACGAAGATGCAGACAAACTGCTGGTCAAGGTACCCAACTCCCACAGACCTTAGCCTGACGAGGTCTTCGTGTGTATTTGTGAGAATTTTGACTCATGGGCCCCACGGTGCTAGATTATCGAGAACACCAAGACCCTCCGCGAAGCATGGGTCACCATGGCCACTAGCCAGTGGGCTATGGTGAAGGAGTACGAGGGCTTGTACGACCCAATTGTTGGTGCTTCGGAGGGACATGGCCGCCCCAGCGTCACGACTCCCCAACTGCAGCTCGATCGCACCTTCAAGCTTAGCGGCGCCTACTCCGATCTCAAGGACGAACTGATCGAAGAAGTGGTAGCCATAGACAAGCAGGTTATTGGCCCTGCCACCGAGGCCCATGAATACATTCAGCCCCTTCGCAAGACAATCAAGCAGCGGGAGAACAAGAGATTAGACTATGAGAAGGCCCAGGAGAAGGTCAAGAAGCTCCAGAAGAAGCCTGGCAAGACGCCCAAGGAAGACGCTGCCCTGTCAAAGGCCGAGTTCGAAATGACTTGCGCATCCGAGGTAAGCACTTTATCGACCAGGTCTGAGTCTTTGCATTTGACAAATGTTGGTCGCAGGAGTTTGAAGTTGCCGATAGTCACATCAGGGAAGCTCTACCTCCGATCATTGAGGCTATCTTCACACTGATTCCTCATATTCTGGCCTCTCATGTGACGATCCAAAACAGACTTCTCGGGCTGTACTACACTGTGCTTCACAACTATTGCGAAGATCACGACTTCCCTTCTCCTCCACCCCCAATGGAGAGCGTAATATCAACCTGGGCAGCATCTTTTGTCCCCATTCAAAAGGAGGTCGAGGCTATCAGTTGCATAGCGCATGGCAAGAATTGGAGGCAACCAGTAAGGGTAGGGGACGATGGGCAGGGCAGAAAGTCATCGACATCGTCAGCGTCATCACGCAACGGCTTTACACGGACGCCTTCTGGCATGAACGAAGGCACGATACCGACCCCTAGAACGATGCGAATACCCTCAAACAACGGGGGAAGCCGTCCAACTATGGCTCGGGATCCTTCTCCTCAGCCCAGCCCGCAGTCGAGTAGTACGAATGTCTCCCGGTCTCAGCTCGGACTACCGACCGATTTCACAACAGCCACGTCTCTTGGGCAGACCCAGGGCTCCCCCAATGTGTCGCCGTCCTACTCACGTTCCCAGTCTGAATACTTTGGGCACCAATCGGGGCTCATCCCGGGGCAGGGGAGTCTGGCAGCGAAGAAGAAACCGCCGCCGCCGCCGCCAGCCAAGCGCTTCAAAGCGCCCGAAGAGTTTGTCGTTGCGCAGTATGACTTTGCTGGGGGGAATGGGGATCTGAGCTTCAACGAGGGAGACATGATCAAAATCGTAAAAAAGACGGACACGGATCAGGATTGGTGGGTAGGAGAAATAGGCGGCGTACGGGGCAGTTTTCCTGCCAATTATTGCAAGGCTGCTTGATACGCGAGGGCAAGTTTGTACTTGCCACGAATCTTGGGCGAATAATGCTGGGTGAATATAATTATTCAGACATTGAGCAAAAACGGTCATAACGCATTTCATCAAAAGTAATCATTGAACAACAGCAAGGTACAAGTAATGTCTTGATCATTTTGTCCCTCCTCCCATTCTAGTCTATATCCGCCATACTCTATGTCTAGTCTTGAGCGAAGGGGACAAAGCAGGAGTGGAGTGAAGAAAATAACGCCGATGCGAAGATAAGCCCGCCCGAATCTAATCTCGTAACGAGTGTGATAAACGCCGCAATCTATGCAATGACAGATAGCTGCCTCGGCTTCAGATGAATCATCCACCGGGAAACACCAAACCATTCTTTTTCCCCCAATCCTAAATAAGAAAAATCAAGCTTTGCTGTAATAACCAGAGGGTATCATAACCATAAACGATCGTCTTGACCTTGCCGACTCCATTTCGTTTCCTTTTTTGTGTCTTATCTTCCTCCCCTTACCATCTGCTGTCGTCGTACTGAGATGATGTGGTCCCGGGTTGGACCACGCCACCCGTCTCCAACGCCACAAGCATTGGCATCACTTTTTGCCACTTTTTTTTTTCTCAGAAAACTTGCGGACCCGCTTCCACCGCCGGCGAAGTGGCTCCCTCCCGGCGAATACGGTCTTCCTCGGCCCGCAATACTCGGGCAATCTCATCATTGCGACCCCGATCGAGGTATCCGCCCTGCCCCACCCCTCCTTCCAGATCCATCGGCGTCACGGGTCCCGGGCTTCCCAGTGGCAAAAGTCTCGGTGAGATGGGCTTGTGCACGCCGGTGCTTCCGATATGGTGTAGGCTCGTCAAGGGTACCCCATTCAAGGTAATAGTGGAGCTGGGAACCGCCGCGGTGCCTTGACTGGGCGAACCTCCAAGCACTTCGCTCGCCGCGATTCTCGCCTGGGCAATCATGTCTCGTTGGTATTGTTGAAGTTTACGGCGGACTTCCGAGTCTTGCCGTGAAGATGACCTGAAGGCCTCGCGCGTGGGAATGTGACCCTCTGATCTTGTTGACGATACACGGCTCGGAGGCCCGGAAGCCCCTATGCGACCGTCTTGGCTACTGCTCTGCTCGTAGTTCGAAGGGTAGTACTTGCCCATTGGCAAGGATGTATCGTGAACGCCGCTGGGGAGGTACGAAGTGACAGGTGTGTTGACGCTGGATGGTCCTGAAACGTCGACAGCGCTCATGGGGGAGAGGTGGATTGATGGCGCCATGGCTGCAGATCGGGAAGCGCCACGGAGGTCGGCTTGAAAGGAGGAATCGACAGTGAGAGAAGAGGCCTTATGCTGAGGCAGTCGACCTTCGGTTCTGGTGGATTGAGGGCGTGAGGTAGAACCCTTGAGATCTTCGTGGAACGAGAAGTAACCACTGTGAGGCAGTGTTAGCACATAATACTTGATGTTTCAGTGTCAAAACGAAGTGATTACGAGAAATAGCTAGGTGGAAGCTAAAGTGGATGGACAGAAAGTGCAAAGAATAGAGAGTTTAGTTTGGCTTGTTCGGGAAGGACGGTGAGGTGGCGGCGGGATGGGAAATTATCGCTTACCCAGGGACGTCGCCACGGGCTGACAAAGGATCGGGAGGTGTGGGCGTGCAGGCAGGAGCCGAGTTTATCTTTCGAAGAGTACTAGTCGTGGGAGATAGGTCAAGGGGAATTGAGCGAGTTCGATTATATCGTGCAGATTGAAGAGAAGATAGGTCGAGAAGGCATGGTGCGGATGATTCGCCTATTAAGAAGAGCCCCAAAGGCAGATTAGTCTCGAGGTATCCTCTTGAGAACCTAAGCAAGGAACATGGATATGTAAAATTCCGATCAAGCGTCTTGGGCCAAAAAGAAAAAATGAAATGCGTAAGGGGAAGGAAAATACACTATGGGCATGACGCAACGGTAAGGGTCCCTTGTGGCCATGCGAGACGGGAACGAACTTTCTGGGAGAGGATGAAAAAAGGGCTTAGGGCCGGGGGTGACCCCGTCGATAACAGAAATGAGAGTGAATGATGACGATGTTCTGCCATTTAGCGGGCAGGGTCCGTCCCGGCCGAGTGAACCAAGGCCGCCGCTTAGCAGACAAACAGTAACTCAGCGTTCCCAGCCCGTCCGGCCCCTCCCCACCACCTCAGCCTGGAAGCATCGCAATCCCATTACTTCACCGCGTCAGTTCCGCTCCTCATCCTCCGAGGGGGGCGGACCAGACCGAACGCAGTGAAGGGACCTCATGCTGACACCGACGGAGCGTTTGGTGCGTCCAGAAGACAACGCGGTGGCGCGCCATCCCCACTCCCCAATGCCCCAAAGACACCACCTGATTCCAGCGGCACAGCCCAAAGGTTTGGAAACGTCAGGCATGGAAGGCCTTGGGCCTTTTTGCACACAATGCCATAGTTCTCAGGGCTTTGGTCTCTGGTCATGCTGCAGCGAGCGAGCGAGCGGACGAACGCGAGGTAAGCACTACCAGCACCTCACCCTCACAACACACGCAAACACTCGCACACGCAACCATCAGGAGCGTAACATAATGGTGGACTTTAAGAAGTCGGTGACTCGGTAATGCGTTGAGTTGAGGTAACTGATGGGGGCGTTGCGCCGTCGTCATTTGACCCTAGCCAACTAGCTTTCCTGACTCGTCACAAGTCTGGGGACCTCAGTGCTGGATCGACTCGCTGAAGCACTGGGCAATTGGCGCCAACGTCCGTCCTTGTCGGCGCCGACGTTGCGGTGGCATTGACGGCCGGGTGCAGGTACCGGAGTGCATGACAGAAAACAGAGGCCGATGGCTCAACCGAAATTAACAACAGAGGAACAGAACAACTCACAGCCCCAGATGAGACATATAAAGGGCAGAAAATAGCAGACACCTGGGGCAAGCCTGCAATTGTGAACTGAAAACGCATGGAGTAGGCGGGGAAAGGGTCTCCAGAGCTGAGGTTGGAGATAAATCAAAAGTGGGAAACAAGTAGATGGCATAGAACAGCGACCTGACATATAACAAACAGTTGAAACATACCTTTGGGAGAGTACAAGTCGGGGGCCGTTGGCATTTTGAACCCATCCTCTCCTGACTTTGAAATTTCGTGCGCTGGCGTATTGAGCCCGGACATGAGCAGGTCGTCGGCGTCGGAGCGAGATCCTGTCGAGACCACCGATATATCTGAAGAGTTGGACAAGGTTCTTCCAGTCATTGCAGGTCGGGACCGCGCCCGCAAGTACGCTGGCGGTTTGAATGATCGACCCAAACTCGCCATGGTTGATTCCTCCTTTACGATGTCGATGGTTTCTAATGCCTGTGACAAATATTGTTCATGCCATGTGCCGTGCCGTGTCCCTTGTCGTATAAGGTACTTGGCGCAGATACTGCTCACAACCAAGGGTGGGAGGAAAATGGAAGCTCGACCGAGCTTGAGTAGATGAGTTTGAGGCTCTTGTTGGTGCCGATGTCTGCGTCTTCGTCTTTCGTCTCGAATGAGGTGTACGTGTGGTCGTTTTCTTGGCCAGCCTCCCTCGGTTTGAATTCTTTTGCTGGCGGGCGTTTGGGCTTCCAAGGCTCTCTCTTTAACTGCACGTCGCCAGCCGGGCGCAGGATCAGACCAGAGAAAGCGGGTAATTTGGTGGATATGTGAGGCCTGTGTGGAGGTGGATATCATGTAGGAGCAAGGGCATGCGTGTGTGCGGTGAGGGAGACAGTAGTCGCTTTTTCGTCCCCTCCCTCCGTGTTGCAGGTGATGGATTGCGGCCTGACAGGGGCCCTCTTGCAATTGTGGAATGAATGGCTGCGATGTGCTTGGACTTGTGCCTCTGGCGTATCTTTTGCCCACGACCGTGGTAAGTGGCAGTCGCTGTTGCTGGCTTTGAGTTGTTTCGTGTAGAAATGGCCAAAGTCAGTCGGCGCAGCCGTTGCGATGGTGTAGTTGATGAAGGAAGGACAGTAACGGATTTAAAGGCATCCGCTATTATTAGAGTGTAATGCTTCGCTCCTTGAAGGCGTTCATTCAGGGCTCGGCTTTGGTTCAGAAACCGGCTGGGACTCGTGTTGGGCAGACTGCAGGGTCCTCTGCGTTTGAGGACAGAAGAGATGATCTTTCTGCAAAGGGTCAAGAGAAATGGATTGCATCGAAGGATCAACGAAGAAGGCGCGTGGAAGGGTGTTGGTGTCTGGGTGTAGGACTCCGTATCTCACATCTCATAAGGGTATCCGTAATGGTGGGTGGGTTTTGGTGGGATGGTGCGAGATGCGGAGGCCGACCAAACGGAATGAGAGAGGCAAGGGGGGAACGGTTTCGAGGGTCTTCCGTTGCTAGCTTATTGAGGGCCTGTTGACTGTTGGCCGTTGATCCAGGTACCTTATCTTGCCTTGGCCGTTGACCGTATTGGAGGGGTCCAACACCGTCCGACCCGAGTGCCGTAAAACAAGTACGTACTTCGATAAAGCTTTGGAACCTGGAAGGTGGAAGGGAACGTATTCGGGTGCCTTGGGTGCTTGGGTATTATGGAATGAGTAACATCTTTTGATTGTCAGTCTTCCGTTAACTGGATATCGTAATTAATGATCTCATTTTTTTTTCTTACAGTCGTTCTGTTGTTTGACCATGCCATCTAAGTGTATTGTCAATTTGAGCATCCGTACGTTCCACATCCTTCATAGTTGTCTCTCCCTTCTTCTTGTGCCCAAGATCGGGCAGGCACCGTCTTTCCCGCAAGATGTCTTGCTTGGTAAAGCTACCTCTCACCTGCCTTGAATTGAAGTATGTACGTATCCATTGAACCAGACCCGTCACGGTAGGTAGATATCCGTGCGAAATTGCGCATCTGTTTGACAGTTACGATGCGAATGCTAAGGCAGAGAGGACCAGAGGGCCTTGCCGTGATAAGATTTCACGTGGTGGCTCCTTCGATTGTCAAACATCTACGGACACTGCGATTTGAGGTTTCTAATTGAGCAAGTGCGAGTTACCGTAATCCTCTGACCTTCTATCCACACTCCAAAAGGTGGATTCAGCTAAGCTGTCTTACTGAGGTTGGCCATAGTCATCACATAACCTACACTATCTTGACTTACATCAAGAGCCAAATCATCCAGCTAGCATGGAACTGCTGCCGTCGATCTCTCCCGTCGATCGACGCCGGTTTTCTAAGCCTGACGAGAACCACATCAAGGCCGCGGGCACGTCCAGTCGACCAAGCCCTCAGACAACATACGAGCAGCTTGGACCCCTTGATCTGTCCTATCCCATCTCGTGGCCCGCAATGCTCGATCCGGACAATCTCGCACATCATTGCTCAGGTGCACCTTGAGGCTCCTATGTTGGTGTGTGAGTGCCGTCAGAGTAACGACACAACCATGGTGTGCTAACCAGTTACGCCGGACCCCGGATGATACAGAGGAGAAGATCGTTCTTAGCAATCCCGATACCCATGGCTTAGAGCCTGTGGCTGCGTGAGCAGGCGAGTGGCAATATCACGTATGTCCATAAAGGTGAGAGTATTCTCCTATTGGGCTGTAACGGTGGCCGCTGATTCAGACGGTTTCCGTCTGCCATCCGTCCCTAGCTACTTGCGGTATCTGAAAAGCGATCAAAGTACTTCTCCAGCCGAGCAATGCCATCAGAAAGGATTCGACTGTACCACCGTGCCACTTGAGGCACCACTGGAGACGACCCACGCCGGACTAAGAGACAGTTGACGTTCGGTTGAATCGGTTCAACGCTCCCGCACTGGCTAGCCGGAGTACGCGGGACAGGAACCGACCGACGTCCAGAGACGGCATTCAGCAGTTGTCTCTTTTACCCCTCATGCTCTCTCCTCCACTTGCCGCAGTACGGAAAGAGTCGTGTGCGAGTAGCTTTCTCCCTTACCGTTTACGACCCCCCTCCGCCTACAGGCTTTCGGTCCTAGCCGATGAAACCTCCGCATCGTCGGGCGTTTATGACTCTTGACTCTGTCCCGCTGTTACCACAGGCGGGGCCCACGTTGGGAGAGGCAGGGAGCGGAGGCTGTCTTGTTAGTGTACATAACGCTAGAGGAGGACCAGAGGCGGAGGGTCTTGGGATGCCCACTGGATTCATCCATGATCCAATCACCCAATGCATGTCCGGGGCTTGATCTCTGAGGCTTTGAATCGGAAGCAGCAAAAACAGTGCTGATCTTGCCGCCGATCGCTACTATCTTCTCAAGTTTCAACAGCCGCAGGGCCCCATGTGCTTTTTAATGGGTCGACTGTTGCCCAAGGTTGGAGGCGTGTGAAAGGATACAGCGGATGTCACGAAACGGCGAGTCCTGCCGGCTCACTCTCATGCCCTGGGTCTCCCGGCCTTGGTCGATACTGAAGTCTCACTTTGCCGACTGCCGCCTTCGCTGTCGTCGGTCGCTCTGACTCTACAACAGGGAGCGTCAAAGCGCACTGACTTCCCCGGGTCTCCTGTAGTTTACATCCCGTTTGCGGCTCTCCAAAGGTGGGATGAAGATCAAGCCTCAATGATGTCCGCCAACAAGTGCTCTGCTCGTTCTTAATCTGACAAAGACAGAGACCTCATTCCGCTGGTATTTGCGGCCCAAATTTCCAGTTTCCGAAGCGTCAATACGCGAGGACCTCTCCGGGGCGATGGGCCTGCTCAAGATTGTTTGGCCGAAAAGTTTTCTGAAGCGCGCCACCCCTCGCCAATATCTCGTAGAGATAGCCAGCGACGAGCGGACTGTCAGGGTCGCCACAGACACGACGTCACAGCGCAGTGGATGCGCGACGTTGCTTAGGTAGTGTCTGCGGGGTTGGAAAACATGAACCCTGGACCCCTTGCTTTTTTCCTATGTACTAATGTAGGACTTTTGAGGCGCCAGGCCTGGCGGTACCTGGCAGTCAGTCATGCAGTCCACTGTATCGATTTGGTTGAAAGAGCGGCAGAACGGCTCTAGTACGCTAGATTTCAGGAGGAACTCCTCCGGGCTGTGCATGCTGGATGGGGAGAGCGTTTTCATGCACCCACCGCACGGTACAGCACTCGGCTCAAGGGTTCCTTGAGAGTTTCTGGGGCCGTCCGCGATGGGATGGATGAAAGGGACTGGAGGGCGCAGCATTCTTGTAGAGTGCCCCTGAAGACGGACGATCCTGTAGGGAGGCCCGAAACTCTAAGGAAGGCAGAAACGCGGGGCCGCTCACCTCCGGCAGGGACGGCTGCGCCGGCGCCGACAACGGCGCGGCGTGTACGACTCAGTCGCCAGGGTCTTCAGGGGGGAACACACGGTCACCCGTGCCAGGACCGGCCCCGGCTAAACGGACGGTGCGTAGGATCGAGGATTATTTGTTTTTGACTAATCTATTCGCAACTTGAATTTCTAAACGTGTGTCTAGTCACCGATATACTCTCCATCGCATCTCACGTGGATATGTCTGGAACCTAGTTGCAAGGTGTATGGTGACAAGTCTCATACTGCCTTTGCAGAGCAAGTAAGTCAAGAGGCAACCACAACATTGTTTCTAAATTAATCACGGCCCATTCGGACAACATGGTATCCGAAGACGACGACCGACTCTAGGATCTCTTGTAGGGGTTTGAACTTTGAAAAGAAAGCAAGAATACAAGATAAACCTCGCCAGGGTTCTGGTATCGTATTTGCGGCAGAATAAAATACTCCAAAAACACCGGCCTCGTAACAACAACATCATGACCGGACCCGGAACGGTCACCTCGAGGTATACGGGGAAGTCTTCCGTATGCGCTCTTTGTAAAGCAACCCCCCCCCCCCCCATACTATCCCATTCTGAATTAACTCGGTAGACGAGCTCTATCCGCCTCTGGGTGTGTTGGTCCATTGTTCGCTTTGCAACATCTCGTTTAGACCTTTCCACGGCCGGTGAATCGGGTGCGGCGCTCGCGGTGTCTCCACCAGTAGGCGGCGGTCGCCAGGGCGCTGACGAGCCAGAGGAGGGCGTTGGCCAAGTCGACCCATACGGCGTTCTTCATGCGCTGGATGCCGCTGTCGCCCTCTGCGTTCTCCTTGATGTACATCTGGCAGGTCACAAGTCAGCAAGGCTGCTTCAACAGATAGAGTAGGTTTCAGTAGGGAAGCTTGGGGATGGCACGTACATTACCAAAGAGACCGAACAAGGCGATCCAGAGGATGAAGAGGATGGCATCCCAGATCCAGACGATGGCGAAGCGCAGGATGAAGGGGATGAAGTAGAGCAGAGCCGTAACGGCGGAGAGGGCGCCGACCACAACAGCAAAGACCTATTTTTATTTTGTTGTTAGCTACTCGTTCTTCGTCTGAACCGTGCTTCACCCGTGACAACATTGACGGCTTTTCCCCCTCGGTATCGTCGCATAGAATAAAACAAACACCAGACTCACCCATTTCCCGTCGGTGTAGCTCCCCTCGCTTCTAGCGCGGTTGAGGTCGACGGCGTAGAGGCCGCATACGGTGACGGCCAGGACGAACTGGAAGAAGTGGAGGACGGAGAAGGCGAGGTAGCTCGCTGCCATGCCGAAGAGGCCCATCTTGGCTATGTTTATCGGTTAACCGCTCAGGAATGGGTGAATAAGTTTTTGGTGGATTCAGCTGGCGTTTCGACGACGGTGAGTAGAGGTTGGGAAGGACGACAATTGGGTTCTCTGGGGAAGAGGGTGTTGGAGGGGGTCTTATTCAACTTAAGCAGCGAACGAGGTTGTTTTTCTACGGGAACAGGCGGTGGTGGTGAAGGTAACCTTGGAAGGTAAGGTAGTGATGACACCAACCAAGGTCAAGGCAAGGTCAGATAGAAGGGTAGCAGCGCCAATACCCTTAGTTTAATCACACCACGTCCACGAGTGGGAAGGGAGGCGCTAGGGTGTGGAAAGAAGACAAACAGGTTGATCGCCATCTTGATTGTCTCAAACCGGTCGATTCACCCAGAGTGCCAGAGTGCCAGTGCGTCCTTGGTTGGGAAAAGAAAGCTGCAAAAAAAAATCTGGGAAGATGGGAGTTGGTCCCCTATGACGCAGCGTGATGTCTTTAGCGCGGACGACGAGCCAGTTAGAGACGCGACTACCACCATTAGGCGGGTTCGCGTAGTTTGGTGCAGGGGGTGCAGGAGGTGCTGTCATTGGATGTCCGTCCCTCTCTAGGTAGGTAAGTGCCTTGGTTACATAGCCCTGGGAGGTCCGCTCCTCGTGGTTGAGGGCTTGAGGGCTCACTGGCTGGCTCAGGGAGCTATCGACGGGCAGGTGCCAGTCACGCCAGTCAGAGCTGCTGCAGCTTTGGGAAAATCTGCACGTTGTTGCTGGCATGCGTCAGAGGAAGGCCCATCGAGGACGTCAGGTCCAGGTCGGTCAGGTACGGGATGAGATGAGATACCAAGGAGGAACATCTTGTTCCAGGGCCCAGTCGCCTCAAGAGAATCAATCATACAGCTACGTACGGATACATATTGCGCTAATCATGACTTGGGGGAAGAGAATAGGTACGCACACAACATCATCGGTAACACCTGAGCAAATCACCAGGTCTCACTTCAGCTGTCCCGGCTCGAGCCAGCCAGTCAGTCAGTTGATCCAAGTAGGCTAGTGGCAGATTGCTTTCATGACATGGACTGGTCGACTGGGCCCATGGTCGATGTGACAGGACCCAAATTCGACCTAGACGCTATGAGGTTTCGAGCACGTCCTTGCGCTACCTACCCTTTTCCCGCTGTCGTCCTTCTCAAATGCTCGTGGACGGCCCGAACCTGGCAGTGTCGGAAACAAACCTCGGACGGCACCTGCGTCTAATGATGACATGTATGATCGATCTCTCACGTTAACTCAGGATGCTGACTGGTCATGTTTCTGATATGCCGGTCGACACTGCGTGTGAGACTGGTTGAACCGGAGCACTGGGTTCCTAGACAGATTGACATACATCTGGGTGGCCGTCATATTGTTTACCTCGGACGGGTGATGTAGAAGCAACTCTGGTGTTTACTACAACTAGAAGCGATTTTCCAGTGGTTAACATGTGTTCATCTTGCCCCTGTACACCACATATCCACTCCCTCATGCAGGATACGGAAAGAATTGTTAGTCAGTTCTCGGTGAGAGAGGGCAACCTAGATTAGTTGACCTTGACTTGATGCTGCTGCTGCTTTTCCACCCACGCCCAAAGGCGCGACGCATGTTGGCCCAAAGGTGGGCAGGTCCGAGCCTTACCCAACGACATGCCTCGGATGCCGCAATCCTCCCCCGCAGAGGCCACATCCGACGATGCCCGCCTACCGCGGTGCGCGCATCTACAGACTGCGGATACACACCGCCATAGACCAAATCCCGTCCACGCCGTTGTTGATCATCTCGTCCGTCTCACAGCTTGTACATTGATTCCTCGCGCGTCAGAAGAATCCTTTCTCCAGCTCGTATCAGAATCCACAAACCACATGGGACAAGGTGACAAAACAAGACAACAAGATACACACAATGACGGAACCACGCCCCAAAGTCATCCTCCCCAAACCCCCCTTCCACCCCATCCCAGGCCTCCCCAACTTCCGCGACGCCGGCGGCTACCCCGTCGACGCCCTCCCGGCCGGCCGCATCGTCAAACCGGGAATCCTCTTCCGCTCCGCCGAACCCTCCCGCCTCACTGACGACGGCGTTGCCCGCCTCCAGGACCTCAACATCACCCACGTCTACGACCTCCGCTCCACCATTGAGCTCGAGCGCCTCGCCCAGGCCGGAACGAGCTGCGACGTCCGCGAGTGGCCCGGCGCCACGCGCATGTTTGTCCCCGTCTTTCGGGACATGGACTACGGCCCCGAAGCTATTGCCTTACGGTACCGGAATTACTCTAGTAACGGGCCCGAGGTGAGTTTTCTTCAACAGCCCCTCCTTCACCTTTCCTCCTACCCGCCCCGGTGACCGATTTGAGGGAACGCCTCATCACCTTGTACAAGTATGTGATGTAATTCTAAAACAATGTCTCTGTAGGGCTTCACAAAGGCCTATACCGACATCCTCCGCGCCGCCTCAGAAGCAGATCACCCCAACGACCCCTTCCACACAATCCTCTCCCACCTCGCCTCCCCCGAACCCCCGACCCCGCTGCTCATCCACTGCACCGCCGGCAAGGACCGGACGGGCATCATCTGCGCCCTCATCCTCAGCCTGTGCGGCGTCTCGGACGAGGTCGTCGCCCACGAGTACAGCCTGACAGACATCGGTCTCCAGGACCGCAGGGAGGAAATTATCCAGCACCTCCTCGCCACCGAAGCCATGAAAGGGAACCCCGAGGGGGCTAGGCGCATGATTGGATCTCGGTATGTGCTTTTTCCTTCACTCACCCATCCACCCACTTATTTGCTTATACTTATACCTATGCTAAAACCCCGCCCAGGAAAGAAAACATGCTTGCGACGCTGGCTGCCCTCCGCGAGGAGTACGGTTCAGTCGAGGCCTACGTCCAGAACAGATGTCGTCTCTCGCCAGAGGACATCAGCCGTATTAGGTCAAACCTAGTAGTGGATGCTGACGACGGGCGTAAAGTGGTTGACTGGGTCTCACACACAAAGTATTTGCTTTGAGAAAAAAGGGCTCATTGGAAAAAAATAACATAAAATTTCTTGCTAGGCTTGCTGAGGCTTCATCTTTTGAAGCGCGTGCCCTTCCCGCTTGAGTCCGTCGTCATATAGGGTTACATGTATATAATTACAGTTGATAGACACAGGACGCTTTTATCCTAAAGCGCCCAACACAAGAACTGAGCCAACATGACCCCAGTTCGTCTTCTGATTGGTTTGGATGGCTGTCGTGAGCCCCCTCCTCCTTCGTCTCCAGAATGCCGTCGCCGTTTGTGATGTAGTCGGCAACAGGCAGTAAGGTATGGGCTGTACATGTTCAAGGCACCGACGTGGGAATCTTCACCTCGCCCTTCCTGCGGTCATAGAAGGGGACACCGTATCTCCAGCCAACGCCTCCCCTGCTGCGGCCGTTCTTGCCGACGGTCTCAACATTCATCTCCTTGAAGCGGAACTCGAAACGACCGGTATCAACACGCGTCGTCTCCTCTTCAGCCTTTTCGGAACGCTTGCGCTCTCTCTCAATCAACCTATCCTCCTGCGCCCTGGTATCGGCGCGGAACTTGCGCGTCAGCTCTTTTCGGTCGCCGCCGTTGTGAGCCGCCCTCCTCATGTCAATGAGCTCCTTGTGGGGTGAGCGATCGTCAATCGATAGCATGTTTCTATGGAAGGCCTTTGCGGCGTCTTCTCTATTGAATTGGCGCGACTCCGACACGGGCACGAAGAGTTGTTGCATCGTGAGCTTGTGGACGTGGATCTCATTCACGGGCTCGTGAGGAATCTGTTGTCCTCCGGTCTCCTGCTCTGCGAAAGGAGTTTGGGGCAGCATGCCCATGACGGCCTGTGCATAAGGTCTGGCCAGTGGTTTGCGCTGCGAAGAAGTTCATTCTCAAGTCAGCAAAGACTGCAGTCTAGAATGATTGTGCGATTGTAATGTAGAGAAATGTAAAGTAGCAAATCAGAGAGGCTCGCAGTGCCAAGGTGTAACCATATTGTGCGTCTTCAAGACTAATCGAATTTTGGAAAGTTGATCATCATGATGCTGGGGAGGAGGTTCAATCCCATCGAGGGATTTGGGGGTTGCAAAACAGAAAAATGTAGGCTTACCTCTGTTATCCACTGCTTCTCGATCTCCATCATCCGCACTACGGCAGCGACGCGGCGAACATCGATACCCAACTCAGCCGAAACAAGCTTCAACGACTCCTTGGCCGTCTTGACCCTCCTGAAGACCTCTTCCCTCAGAGCCTCGCTCAGCACGGGTTCACTCTTGAAGAACGGGTTCATCGGGAAGGGCTGGTCGAAGCCGCCCAAGTAATTGGGGCCCTGGCCCTCGGCATCCTGAAACCTGCTACCTCTTTTCTTGAGGAAGTCAAACATCCTATGTTGCGCCTTGCTCCTTCTCGACTGAATCGGCGTTGTGGAAAAGGCGCACCGCAATGCTGGTGCAGCGTACGCAGCATCGCACCATTTGGTCCCGAGGACCAATGGCGACAATGACGAGCCCGCTCGCGACGCCATTGTGTGTGTGAAGCAAAGAGTGTTGTTCTGGACGCAAAAGGCGCGCCTGGATTGCACCTTATTACGGCGAAGCAACCATTGAGGAAGCTTGGGTATAACGAAGTGTGGTTGTTTTGTGAAGAAGGGAGACTTTTTAAAGCTACGACTGATTTTTCCTTCGTTTTCTTAGGACAATGTGCACGGACCATATTGCGGATAATTTGCCTTGGTCAATTGGCCTGGTGCCTTAGGACGGAATATAGAGCCGTTTCCCATGCTCCGGTCTCCACCTACCGGTATTCAGCCTCCGTCTTCCGGTATCCAGGTTCCAGGTTATCCCGTCCCGTCTCGTTCAGTAGACGGAAGTAGGTACCTAGATCAAAACGGGTGCCTCCCGTCACTTTCTCTACCGGGCAATCCTCTCCCGATCTCATAATCAAGGCATAACCACTCATATCCCTAATATAGTACGTTGCTATGCATGCAGTCGTGATCAATACGTGTCTTGTCTCAGCAAGGTCTCTTTTGTATGCATTAGTTAATCCATTATGATTATTCTCTCATGCATACGCGCTCTATGGTATCATTCTGCGCGTCCCTCTTCGTATATTCCTTGTGGGGCATCTCTTAAACCGAACCATTCTGCCAATGCAATCAAAGACCAGTAGCCATAAACAAGGTGCAGATCCCCTGCAACACAGATGAGCACCGAGCCTGCTGAAACCATGCCTCAGAGGGGAGTCCGTATGTTGCTATCATATGTTCATTAAGCCAAGTCCCATGAGAGACTATTGGAAGAAAAGACTCCGCCTCGTCAAAAGCTCGCGGTACCATCATTACTGTGGCCTTATGCCTAGGTAGGTGTAGCGAAAGCCAATGTCACCTAGCTACCATTCCCTGCTAAAGCATGCTGGCGTTGCTGTACTCTTACGCCGGCACCGCCGAAGTCATCGACAAGCGATTCTTCTTTGCCTTTGTCTTCAACGCGGCCGATTTCTTGGCTTCGGCCTCGTCATTCTGCTGAGAGAAGTCTTTCCATCTTCTCCAGCCATCAAAGTCAATGAGTGCTTGCATGCAGCCCCATTCCATGACTTTCCTCTCTAACCAAACAAAGTTTACAGGCTGTGATAATCATGTAAGCACAATGGGCAAGTAGGTATGGAAGAGTAGAAACACTGACCTTGGTAAGGAAATCGTTGCAGCCAGCCGCCAAGGCCTCATGTCTGTCACTCTGGAGGGAGCTGGCAGTGAGGGCCACGATAATGACCGGACTTTTGAAGAGCTCCATATTGGTCAACTTGTCCTTCTCCTCTGGCTCGCCATTCGGGGCTTCAGGTGCGCTCCCTGCTGACGAAGAGAAGACACCAATTGAGTTGACTCTCTCCAATCTGCGGATCTCCCGGGTGGCTTCCAGTCCGCTCATGATGGGCAGTTGAATATCCATCAGAACAAGATGGAAACCGCCGGTCCTCCACATGGTGACGGCATCTCGGCCGTTGACGGCCGTTTTCCACCTAACCTTCAGACGCTTGACAAAAGCCTCAAGCAGCTTGAGGTTGATCGGGTTGTCCTCTACGATCAACACGTTGATGGGTGGCACGCCGCCATTCAATATGCCAGCCGGCAGAGTTGGATGATCTACTGTTTTCTTCTTCTTAGGCCGAGAACTTGCTGGCCTAGGAGAAGCAATCCTGGGCGGGGGAGTAGCAACTCTTGCAGGTTGTACTTCCGGAGCGGGTGGTGTTGGAAGTGGCGGAGCAGCCGGTTGGGCGTTGGATTGCTCTGAAGTGTTCGACTGCGTCCTAGAGGGCGGTAGGCGTGGGTGGAATGAGTGGGTAGGATGCGCAGCAGCGACTGCTGCGGCCGCCATGGACTGTGTGTTGACTTGATTTAGTATCGTAGGTGAGGAGGTATGGGTTCTTCCAAGGCGAGGGCGTTCTGGTCGTTCCCTGTATGCACGAGACCTCGTGCCTCCCGGGGAGGGTATTGGCGGTACTTGGCCGGTTCCAAGGATTGCAATCGAGTGTTGGGTGTGCGCTGTAAGAGCGTGCGCTGGGTGAACTGGGTGGGCAGGATGCGAGGGATGTATTGCAGGGACGGTAACAGGAGCGACGACCGGCACTGGTAGGTTTGGTGATGGCAGAGCAGCAGCGTTTGCAACAGGAGGGAAGTATCCTTCGCCAGCCTCAGAGGGCCGGCCTTCGTCATTGTAGTAGATTGTTGTAGCATGCGTCGGAGCACGTGGTGATGGTCTCGGTGTGCGCCGGGCTGGGATATCGATAACCAGAGCCTCTTCAACATTTTGGCCACCGGGGAAGTAGGCATCGAGTGTACGGCCCACGGGCTCTTCGGGACCTAGCATACGATCCTGTCTCTGCTCCCGTGGGCATATCCGTAGTGTGAGGTCGGGAGAATCAAAATGCCTACCCAACGAGTTGGCATACTTTCGTAGAATCATGTCGCGCACATCATCGACCAGGTCGTCCTCGTTGACGGTGATGATTGTGGCAGAAGCGCCGGGGCGCCTAACCCAGACCTTGCGGGTGACCATGTTTGCGATGTTGGGGAGCAAAGAATCGGCGCTGGCTGGCCTAGCTTCGTTTTCGACACGTCCTTCGAGTAGGTTTCGAATTAGAGTGGTTTGACGATTGGGTATTAGACTTTGTCGTCGGGGAGGCGCTTCTGGGCGGGATGACAACGGCGAACTCGGTAGGATGGCTGTTGCAAGAGGCGTCGGGGTGCCGAGGGCATGGCTGAGGGGATCGTGTTGATCGTCGTTGAGGTCCTCGGCAGAGACCGCCTGGAGGGTAACAGTGGGAGCCGCGCCAAATTTTGGCGGTAGTGGCTGGTGTGAGTGATGCGACTGCGACAGATGAAGTCTCTGCTTGTTATCGTCAAATCCCGGTGGAGTTTGGTCTTCGTGGATGCTTGGGAGGTTGTTGATGGCAGTGGGAGCTGCAGCAGAAGCAGTGGTTATTGCGGCTAGGTGTAGGTCGTTGCTGGCAGTCAGTTCGCTAGCCAAGCGTCCATGAGACGCGGCGGGCGGCATTGCCAGCGAGTCAAGGCTGAGGTCGAGGTCGGGGTGTGGCTTGTGAGCGTCCTGATCGTCCCCAGTCCCAGCCGAAGTGTCTCTGACCTTGTTGCTGGCGCTGGCGCTGGCGCTGCTTGCGGGTCTTTGCTCGTTGTCGCTATCCGTAGTAGTAGTTGTGGCGATGGGATTCTCTTCCTTTACCAAAACCTCGTCGCTGCTGAGAGGTGCATCATGACTGTTATTTTCATCATCAACATGACTGTCGTGGTTAATTTCGTGCCCGTGGCTTTGTTTTTGTTGGTGGTCCAATAGATGGGACTTGGACGAGGACGACGACTGTGGCGGGAGCTGACCTTCCTCACTGTCGGCTTCTCCCTCTGCAGCCCCAGCAGCGGCACCCCCAGCCGTAATTGCCTTCAATTTCGGCTGCAGCAAGTGGTCGCCTGGGCTGCTGCCGGGGGGTTGTGGTGTGGTGGACTGTGGCTGTGCCTGCAGGTGATGGTGTGGCTGGTGTGGAGTCGGCGAGCGCGAGGGCAAGGGCGAGATTGGCGTGTGAGGCGGGTGCTGAGAGCTTGCTCTGGACCTGGGAGCCGAAGCGGATGCAGCGGCCGAGGATTGCCGTGTGAGACTCGTCCAGGTCCCATCAGTTGTCTGGGAGTTGTGAGCATCGCCGGTGCTTTTGTTGGAGGCTAGAGACGGTGCAGCCGAATTCCTCCGCGAGAACTTTGCCCGAAGACGAGCTCTGATATCCCCAGCAGTACCCATGGGGATGGGAGGGTCACATTCAGTGTGCGAATGGGGGCGAACTTTGGATTTTTTTTTTTTTGAGCGGGACGGGGTACGACGGTACGTTGCTGAAATTCGGGATGCTAAGGTTATCGTGTCTTGCGCGTCTTGTCGCGTGGCCGCCGCCGTTGCTGTGGACGTGATGGTAGCCCTTTTGCTGATGGACTTTTGTTCTGGCGGGTTGTCTCCTTCGATGATGGATCAAGTGGACTGAGGTTGAGACACGCCGAGAGGAGGAGGAACGGATGGGACGGGTGGCATGAAAGGTGAGTGAATAAGTGGTATCAGCTGCCTCCCCAACTGCGGCGAAGAGGAGGAAGAGGATGAGGAGGGGAAAGGTCGATTCTTCCAACGTAGATGGGACACGGTGAAATACGGTATGATACGGTGCGGCGAGTTGACAAAAGTGGAATGTAAGTGTGGTGAGTACAGAGTATTAAAGGGGGGTGACGGGCACCTGGGGAATTGAGATGAAAGACAAGACAAGAAACAAGATGTGATGAATGAGTGAGATGGGCCTTGGGAAAAACAAGAGACGAATGAATAAGGCGTCGGAGAGAAAGACAGAGAGGAATGAGAGGGTAATGGAGTTGGAAACTTGAGATACCCTACTCAGAGACAAGAGGCAGAGACTAAACGGGAAAAAGCAAGACGATGCAACAGAGACCAAGTAGAAATGGTGCAAGATGCCTGGCTTTCCCGTCCACTAAGTGTCAATGCGAATGGATGTGAACCACCAGGTCAAGTCCAGTCAAGCGCCGATGGGCTGGCTGTCATATCCCGGGGTTGCGCTGTGGTTGTAAATTGTGGAGGGAGACTTGAGAGACAGACACAGGATTACAGACAGCAGAACATCCAGAGATGCCTTGACAGCCTAATACCAATAATATTCATTCGTAGAGAGAGAGAAAGAGAGCAAACGACGCGTGGGATGGGATACCCATGCGGTTGCCATGCCTTGCAAAGTGCCAGCCCACATGAATGGTCCATGGATCCGTAGACCATCCGTAAAAAGCTACCTAACCGGCTTCAATGTCCGGTCCAAATCCTGCTTTTTTTCCCTCCTCTGTATCTCATTTCCCGTTGACATCCAACGTTTTTGCTCGCCTTCCCCCTATTAATTGGCCGTGTTGCCCTCCGCGCCTGGCCACGTCGACGGTCGATGCGCCTCACAGCTCCACTTCACTAATAACCAGCCAATTGGCCTGTTTTGAGCAGCCCGACTGTCCCGTGCAATGTACCTTACTAAGTACTTCGTATCTTAGTACTGACATTCAAGTGGGTGACAAAATGGGATATCGCTCAATACCCTCCCTATCTCTTTTTCTACTGTTCCTATTACTACTACTACTATTATCATTGTTCTTACTATATCTAATTACACTCTCTTAGATATACTCTATAAAGAATATACAAGACCTTAAAAAATGATGAGAATCGAAATAGAGCTAAGTACTTCGTGTTGGGCGGCAATCCATTGAGTCTCCCACTTGACGCTAAAGAATTGGATATGGAAATCTGAAAGACCGGACAATTCCATAAAACGCCCTATTAACTACTTGTGCAAGGATGAGCGCCTGAGGATACCCTCATTCATCAGCCACAGACCAGGTTTCTTTAGTACGTGCCCTTCCATCGAGATCTTGCACCCGCCGCCTCGCCCGAAATCAAGGATAAATCGGCCGGTAGGCAAAAGTCGATCTTCGGCAAGGTATCCTGCACGTCGTGAATGACTTCGTGGGGTTCTGCAAGTTATCAAGTCGTGCGAGTGCATGTTGTCCTGCAGCCATGTCACCGAAAGATGTACTGAAGATTCGCGTCTGACACAGGAGGGACCTTCCTCCAGTGCTGAGGTACCTATGTCGCGACCCACATTTTAAATAGTGACATCTTTCATTGCTGAAGGTAGCCGTAATCAGACACAAACATCTACGGATACAATTTCATCCAACCCACCTCATTCTCTGATGCCATTGTCAATGGACCTCGTCTAGCGTCAAGGTTGCCTCAGACCACAGCTGTCATACTATTGCACAGCACCGATATTTGCTCCCGGAAGCACTTGGCTTAACTTAAAGATGCCCTCCTTCACAGAATCCGAGCACCAGCCGCAAACTCTACCCTTTGAGAAACCGACACCACGTCCACCCAGGTCGCCAACAGTAGCCAACAACATTCGGTCTCGGAACCGTCGTCGAGAATATCTCGAGAGAAATCCAAAGTACTTCTCCGATGCTGAGCACGAGCTGGCTGGTCCGTCTCTTCGCATCCCCTTTCTCCCTCTCTTTCTCCTGAGCGGTCTTAGTGCTATCGCACATTGCGGGATCGTGTTTGCTTCATCATCAGCTCAGATACTAACATTCCTCCCAGACCCCCTATTATATGACAGCTTGGTTCGCAAGTTCCAGACGCCAGCCGAGCGTGAGGTCGAAGGCAAGGCCAAGGGCTACTCCGGGGTTTTAGAAAGCTCCCTGCTCAGAGGCGAGGCTCGCCTAGCTGACCTCAAGTCATCAACTGATGACACTTCGACGGCGGAGCCCGCGAGAGGCTTCACAACCGAGGCCGATTTTTCCAAGACAAAGACAAAGGAAGAAGGCCTTCAGAGATGGCATGAGTTTCTCACAGAACGTTTTGTCCGCGGCCATGACGAGGATTTCGATTACAGTCTGATCGACGATAACGAAGATTACGACGTCATGGAGAGACGTGATGCCGAGGAAGCCTGGTTCGATGAAGAAGATCCCGAATGGGCCAGTGACGCAGACGAGGGAGTCGAAACCACACAGGGCCAGACCGGTATTCAGGATTTTTGAACGACTACAGTATGGAGGGCAAGTCCGGACCAGGACTGCCACTTGCCTGCGCATCAAGAAAGGGGCCCTGGGAGAATCCGAATCCTTGATGGCGAGCTATTGCGCGCTCGTCATTAGCAGTGCAGCATCTGAGCATCCTTTCCAGGAGCCGCACCACTGCTACTGTACTTCTGGCAGTTAGGCTGATCTTGCCATGCCTTGATACAAATGCTTGAGTGCAACTGAACCCTATTTCAGCAGCAGTCGGGAGCAAGAGAGAGGACAGCATCAATTACCAAGCCTTGGGCCTGGAGAGGACGCACCTTGACGGCCTCACCTTGGGCTTCCATACCTTTCCATCCCACGATGCCAACCAACCCAGTCGACTCTTCCACATACCTTGCTGACGCCGTTGGAAAGTCTATAGCCGAACGGACCGCAAAACTTCCCAATCACAAGTTCAGCGAGTCACCTCTGGCTCAATGGTAAAAGCGTCGGCGTTGCGTAGTCATAGGATCACAAATACTACCAATAACCCACCGACGGGGTTCGAGTCCTATGCTGCCTTGTGATTACGGCGGTAAAGCTCGGGTAGCGCGGGGTCTCGTACTGAAAGGGGCGAGATTGAGCGTCGAACATTATTTTTCTGCAGTTTTTGGCATCGATTTAGGTAACTTTTGGTGGTGGTATGATGAGTTCAAGAGGAAGCACTGCCTCATGCCGTCAATATGGCTTCACTCAAGACAAGATAGCACAAGAGACCTTTACATCTCCTCAGAGGTCTACGGTTAACCCACACCAGCATCCTGCACCTGTACAACAACGACTAGGTTCTGTCCTCCAACTTGTGGTGCGGGTGGATGTGCCCAGGATGGGGTAAACCGGGAAAATGCGCTGGGTAAATTCAAAGGCCGCTGGCTAGTCGTCCCGTGTTCCACTCTACCGGGCCAACATCATCACTTTCACATTCATCCACGCGCCTGAACCCCTTTGATGGTGGAGAATCCTGGAGATCAACTTTTTGGCATATAAACGGATGCCTCCCAAGGCTTTCTTCGCGCCCATCGATCTTTGCATAATCTCTTTAACCGTCTCTTCTCGTTGCAAATCGGCATCTGCAACAACATCCTATCCCCCCAAGATACCCAAAGTGGCATGCTTGATTTCCCCATTTGACCCCAATTCCACCGAACACTTTCAACACCCCGCATTCCCTCCCCCGCACTCCCACTTTCTCCCCTCCCCCCATCCATCCCACACATTCTCACGATGGCGCCCCTCATCAACCACCTCTACACAGCCGACCCTTCAGCCCACGTCTTCAACGGCAAAGTCTACATCTACCCGTCCCACGACCGCGAGACCGACATCAAGTTCAACGACAATGGCGACCAATACGACATGGCAGACTACCACGTCTTCAGCACATCCTCCCTAGACCCCCTGGAACCCGTCGTCGACCACGGCGTCGTCCTCAAAACCGAAGACGTGCCCTGGGTCTCGAAGCAGCTCTGGGCCCCCGACGCCGCTTACAAGGACGGGAAGTACTACCTCTACTTCCCCGCCCGCGATAAGCAGGACATCTTTCGCATCGGCGTCGCCGTCTCGGATAAGCCAGAGGGGCCCTTCACGCCGGACCCGGAACCCATCCGGGGCAGCTACAGTATCGATCCGGCTAGCTTCGTTGACGACGACGGCCAGGGATATCTATATTTCGGGGGTCTTTGGGGTGGCCAGCTGCAGTGCTACCAGAAGGGTAACGAGGTATTCGAGAAGCAGTGGCTCGGCGCGCAGGAGCCTAGCGGCGAGGGCGTCTACGCGTTGGGCCCCCGCGTGGCCAAGTTAACGGGCGACATGCACCAGTTCGACGGCGAGGTTCAGGAGATCCAGATCCTTGATCCGGCGACGGGCAAGCCTATCCTCGCCGACGACCATGACCGCCGGTTCTTCGAGGCGGCGTGGCTGCACAAGAGGGATGGGTTGTACTACTTTTCGTACTCGACTGGTGATACGCACTACCTCTGCTACGCCACCAGCGAGAGCCCATTGGGTCCTTTCACGTACGGGGGACGGATCCTCGAGCCGGTGCTGGGGTGGACGACGCATCATTCCATTGTCGAGTTCAAGGGCCAGTGGTGGCTTTTCCATCATGACTGCGAGTTGAGCAAGGGCGTGGATCACTTGCGGTCTGTAAAGGTCAAGGAGATCTTTTATGACAAGGACGGGAAGATTGTGACGGAGAAGCCATAGTGGGCGAGTTAATGATTTAGTCAAAGAAGTTAGAAGAAAGTAAATATATCTTGCGACACTTGTACCAATAACAAATCTTGAGAGACACTTTATGTGTTCACGGATATTTTGGGTTAATTTTCATTTACATCCTCATCATTTCTTCGCAACCTAGGCTCTTGCTTTCACTTCTGTCCCAAACTTTGTAAGATCTTCCTCCTCCATGAACCGGGCTAAAACAGCAACTCAAGATTTGGATAGAGCATATAATTATCTCACATTCGGGGATTTGGGGGGTATATTGTGTTAGATTGGAACGTTGTGTCCGTGACAAAGGAAATTAAAAGGGGGTGTTGTGCTCATCATGTTTGTGTGTTCTCCTCTTATCCAGAGGAAAGAAAATACGCCCCATACTGCTTGCTTCTCAACTTTCAACAACTCCAAAACGCAACTTATTCAACGCCTCTTCATACTTGGCCGGGCTGTGATCAATCAACATACTCGTACCGAACCGCACCTCCCTGAAGCGCGACTCAACGTCCCGCACGTACTTGAGCACTATCCGCTGCGCAGGCCGACCAATAGACTCCTCGTCCGAAACAAGAAAGGCATCGCGCCTCAGCACCCGCTGACTCTCCACGATAAACACCTCACCCGGCGGCAGCAGCTTTAGGCTCATCATGCTAGAGCGCAGCGTCGTCAGCGCCGAGATGCTCCATTTATCCTCGTCTGCGGCGGCCATGGAGGAGGAGCGCGAGCTGCTGTTGGTGTACCACTTCTCCGCCAGCCCGGACTGGAAAGCCTGCCATATCCGCTGGCGAACCTCAACTTTGGCCTCGTGGTTGTCAGACTTGAAAGCGAGGGCGACGGCCTGGAAGTCGTGCAGGACGCCGAGGGAGAGGAATGGGACGAGGTCGCAGCCGTGGACGACGCTGGTGACAAGACCGCGGGTGGCTTTGCGGAGGGCGGGGGACATTGTGCCCGGCGGGCCGTAGGCGTAGACGTGGATTGGGCGGCCCGAGGGGAGGCAGACGTGCGTGGTGTCTGCGTCGAGGAGGCGTCCGTCGCCAAGGAGGCGGCGGTGCGGGTCCGAGGTCGTGACGAAGCCCGTGCCTGAGGATGAGGGCTCGGCGAGCATGGTGCCGAGTAGCGCCGTGACGCCGCCGCCGAGGGAGTGGCCGCACAGGACGAGGCCGTAGTCGCTAAACTCATCGAGGGCCTCCTTGAGGGTGTAGAGGACGCGTCCGTCGCCGCCGTAGAGGAGGCGGCGGGCGGAGGCGTGGATGCCCTTGTGCACCTTATAGGACTTGCCGCGCCAGTAGAGGTTGTCGTAGTCGCAGGCCATGTCGGCCAGGACGTCCTCGAAGCCGAGGGTACCGCGGCACGCGAGGACGACGGCTTTGGATTCGTGGTCGAGGGAGATGTAGTGGACCAAGGGGACGCCGGTGCCGGTCGAGCCGGTGGTGTCGGATCCGCCCTGGGCGTCGACGAAGGAGGCGAGGAGGATGCTGGTGGATTCGGACTCTGTGTGGTGCGCAAAGGAGCGGATCTCGTGGTGTGTGTCGTCCAGCGCTTTGATTAGGGGCATGTCTTTTGAAATACCCATGAACTTAAGAAAGTTGGAGCCGTATGACGCCGAGGAGAATCGCATGTATCGCGTGATGTTTCGGAGCAGATGGAAAGCCGGGAAGACACCATCCACTGTGCCAGCCCGCCTCAAGGTGTCAATGGCCTCGGAGTCGGTGTATGCACTTTTCTGATAGTACGATGACAGAACCAGAGACGTCTGAGAGCCGGTATTGGCGATGCTGTAGAGACTCGGCGTGTTGACGTGGGAACGGGCCCTCCTGGACTTCATCGGCGATGGCGGCTTTTGATCGTTCATGTCCTTCTCTGACCGCGACTTGGGGATGCTAGGCCCACCTACACCGTCACGTCGGCCATATACCGGAGATTGGGGCCGATATCCGTCAAAGGCGTGGAAGGAGTAGGTGTCCGTTTGGGACACAATCGAGTCCCGACGCCGCTCGTGTACGGAAATGTAACTGGCTCGCGAGGAGCTGCGAGGTACAGGCGAGGGGTTGTCGTATTCCCGGCCTCGTGAGCTGGAGGCAGCAGTTGGGCCCATGGCCCGAGTCTGGGACGGACGGCTGGGCTGGGTGGAGGTGCGTGTTGTACCATTTCTTGCAGAAGTCTTGGCCGGTTGCTTAGGTTTCCCCGCGGGCTGCGAACTGCCAGTGCCGGTTCCTTCTCGATGAAAAAGGTTGGAAATGTTTGAGCTGGTACCCCTTTTCAAAGCTTGCCTGATGCCTCCCTTTTTCTCGGTCGTGGGCTTCTCTGATGGTTTGCTGCTTGACAAGGGCTCTCCTTTCGTCCTCTTGGGCTTGGTGGCTTCAGCATGAGAGGAGACGGCACTCTCCTGACGTGCTCGCACTGGTAAGGGGCCGAGGGGCGCGCGCTGTCGCTTTTGGTTTGGCGCATTCTCGGGACTCTGCTTGGGCGTCGGGATTTGAGAGACTCGACTGCCGGGCGATGTCGAGGGGAAACTAGGGCCAACCTTTGCTCGGCGAGGGGTCGGGTTGGATGTCACATCCGGCCTCGAGATACTGGATGGGGCCGAGGTCAGCGCCTTCTTGGGTGGTACGGCTGGCGGTTCGTCCTTTCCGTCGTTTCGACCGTATCCGTCCGACTCCTCGGTGTCGTCCAGTGATTCCACCTTTCGAGAATTGTCTTCCGCCTCCTCGAAGCCTTGGATCGTTGTGTTTCGATGTTTGCTCTTGTCAACTCTGTAGACAACTCGATAGGTTGGGACATCAGCAGAGGCTTGATGCCTCACCAATTGCTCCTTTGGACTCTCTGAAGATGGTAGTACTTCTCGTTCAACGACCTCGACGCCCGGAGGCGGCGTCAAAGTTGGGGGCTCGGGTCCGGTAAAGTCCACCGTTATCATCTTTCTCGTCAAGGTCGTTGTTGAGATAGAGACGCTCGTGTCTGCAGGCATGGACCGCATGATCTGATTCTTCAAACGGATTTCCGGTAGGTCGTAGTCGTCTTCGTCCTCGCTAGTTTCCCTCTCGCCATGTCGTTCGATGGTCGCTAGTATACCAGGACTTGGTTGGTCGCCTGGCATAGAAACCAAGATATCGGGACCCTTGCTTTTGTAGCGGCCTTTGTGCACCCCGTACAGGCTGTTTTCGTGGATGTCGACCCGCTCCCCGTCGTTGAGTACGACGACATCCCAAACGATTTCATCATGGCCAAGTCGTCTGGTCTCTTCATCGAGGAAACGTCGACACTTGCGCTGTAGGTAGGCCAACGCGCACAAGCCCATGACCAGATCTACAACACCCACACGCTCACCCTCCACACCAGTCGCAGGGTTCTGAAATTCGCGGCGAATCAGAGTAATGATGCTTGCAATGGCACGTGAAGAGTCGGTTGAGCCAAAGAACTGATCGAGAGACGAAAGAAGAAGCTGAGATATCTCTGAAGCGACGGAGATGGTAGTACTCGTCATCTGAAAGCCGGTCGTTGTCCAGAAAACAATTTGAGACATGGCACTATGCAAATGCTCCAAGCTCCTCTCCAGGACAGTTTCTGCATCTTCTCTGCCCAGGTCGCTGTTGGAGCGTACAAGCATATCTCTCCCAGATCTGCTCAGAATTCCCTCGAGTATGCCCCTGCTGAGCTCCAGACTGGATAGAGTGGTGAATTTGGCAGCATCGAAGCCGTACGAGCTGATGAGGGTGCCAACACGGATTGCTAAACAAGTTGAGCGAGTGGCGAGACTAACGGCCTTTGCTATGGGACTCGGTAGCACAGTTCGTCCTTCCTGGTGAGAGTCGAGAGGGACGTGGATCAGACTGTGAGAGTGATCGTCCCCGTCCCCGTCCCAGTCGTCGTCCGTATCCATGGTGTCTGATGGGTGTGCCGGGGCAGAGGCCAGTGAAGGTCGGGAAGTGGGCGCTCGCATGCGCAGGAGGCACGGGTCATCAAGTGACAGACAACGTGGGGTTGGGATAAGGTTCCGGACGTTAGACTTGAAGTGATGAGGGATGTGCAGTCACCAATGTTATACTCGAGACCTCGACTGAGCTCGGTTCCAACAGGGGATGTCGAGCGTACAGTCAGGGGAATGGTGAAGCGAAACGGAAGCAGGTAATGAAGCGTTCAGAGACACAGAGAAGTTACAGGCTTGTGTAAAGAATAAGGAGAGGGACGGAGCACAACTAATTGTAGTAAAGGTAAGGGAGATGAAGGAGACGAGGTGGTTTTGAAAGGGGGGAACATAGGCGTGCTACCAGTGGTGGCAACATTCAAGCACCTTCAGCTACGCGTAGGAAGATCAGAGCAGCGCAGAAGTACACAGAGGCGTATAGGAGGTTGTGGAACGACCGGAATAGAGTAGATCTGGCAAAAGACTAGCCTCAGTGTACTACCTCGGCCTGCTCTGTCAACATCTATACCGACAGTCCCGTCCCGAGTGCAACGGGCGTGACGGTGCCGTGTTTTCTTGTGTTGTACTGATGACGAAATTCTGGAACCAGGTCGTGATAAGGGAACAGTACTGTGTAAAGAGAGGCGAGAACCCGCGTTTCGAGGAGCACTTTGTTTGGTACGGTACAGTGAGTGAGTGAGTGAGTGAGCGAGTGGTACCGCCGCGTAAGGTGGTTTTTAGGGTGCCGTGGATGCGCGGTGGAATGAAATCAGTTGGGGTGCTCTAGCCCAATGTGAGCTCAGGCAAAGGTGACCGGGTTGACGTGTTGAGCCGCTGTGCCAGGGCTCCAATAGGAGTAAGTGGGACGTTGAGCATGAGTAGCCTGTGGGTTGTTTCCGTACGGATGGGTAGCAAGTAAGTGTGGCAGCATGGGCAGCATGTGATTCTGGTATAATTTGTGGGGGATGTTCATGCGCGCGACGGCGACGGCGACGGCGTGAGGTAGGATGGGACGGGATGGCATGGCGAGGCCCTGGTTTCTGTGGGTGTGGGTGTGTTTCTCCAGCCCGGGGTAGTGTAGTCTGTGACTCTGTCTCTGTGGACGGAGTAGAATGTGCGTGTGCCTCTCTCAAGTCTCGGGGCAATAGAGGAGGCAAAGTACGTCTGTCTGTGTAGGTGTGTGTGTGTGTCTGTATGGAGGAATAACATGCCATCTTGTCTGGCTGACTGGTATGGCGCTACTCGATAGCGTCTGGGGTGGGATGGGATGAGACGGGATGAGATGAGATGATGGGGGATGAAGATGGGGGATTTGCCCGAGCCGATGAGAAGTCGAGACTAGTGTTAGGGGCTACACACACAGCTAAGATGGTAGCGTGGGTGGTGATTCGAATCGGTCATGCCTACCGACCTAGCATACCGATGGGTGCTTCAGACTGCGTGGATGTGTGCATGAGGCTTGTGATGGTTGGAAACAATCCCTCACATCTTGCCTTTTGGAAATGATATCACGGCAAGAGTGAGTTGCTGTATAAGTACGTATCAAAGCGTTTCTTCACGGCCCAGGTAAACCCGAAGATGTTCCTAGCCGCCAAGTACCTTACGTATACAAGTGAATTGGATCCTGCTGCTCGTCTTTCACCATCCTCCTCCGCAACTCTACAACAGGTACACGGGAGATTCCACTCAACAGCAAAAGCAGTTCGTCTTGTATTCGGTGCTGTTCATGTTGAATACACGATTAATCAGTTCCCGACTTGTCTACTAGTTCGAGTTAAGGTAGCACGGGCAGTAAGTTTCCGTAGTAGCTGGTGGCTGCGACCACGAGCAGAGGTTCGTTATCAGCAGGTGCACGTCTCCATTCTAGCGTCTCATTCTCGCTTGCCATCCGACCGATAAGCTTGTAGCCAATGTACCTTATGAGGGTGGTTGCCCGTCATCCAACTCTGACGTGACGTGAGTGGTCCAAAGTCACTGAAGTGTCTCTGGGACTGGAGGGGCACTGCCATGTTTGCACATGCACTGGAGACGTTGAATACCAACTAAGATTATGGCATTCCAGATGGGAGGAATGCCAAGGTCTCGAAGACATGTTTCTTGCCTTACATAAGCTTATGGAAGAGGGTCAAAGTTGCCTCCATCGTCGTGGGCGGCGGTTTAGGCGGTTGAGGCGCATCCTTCCAATTATCGCACGCAGGAACGGTGTTTTCCCCCTTTTTACCTTTCCTTTCCCTGAAGATATAAACATAACTATTCTGTTGTAGATTTGTATCTCGGTGGCTTGACCCTTGCTTCTTTCCTACATCTGTGCGGCACGATTGAGTTTATAATCTCTTGGTGGCTTCATTACAATCTACATCCGCTATCCACGGAATATGCAGAGCCGCAGACTGCAGCTTCACCCTGTGCCTCGGCCGGCGGCTGGCCCTGATGGTTGGGACGGACATGCGCCCAGTACCTTGCTGCTTCGACGATCGACAGGCCCAAGGGCGGGAAGATGTGAGGTGATGTAGTAGGTATCCCAATTCCCGGACGAGTGTGGCCAAGATTGTCTCGAGATTCCGAGGTTGCAGGTCGATATGTAAGGACAGCGGCACTCTCAGCATCTACCTCTCCCACTGCCCATGGTCGCGGGTTGGACCTAAGCTGTAGGCATCCGCAGGGTGGGAGGTAATGTTTTCTACTCACACACATAGACACACACACACACACTCTCTCTCTCTCTCTCTCTCTCTCTCTCTTTCTCTAAAAGTGGCTGTCCCGTATGCTATGAATAGCCACACGCAGAAAAGCCTCGAGATCGTCCCGTGCAGGCGGATACGGGCCTGGGAACCGCACGTCAGCTTACCTCAGTTAGGGCCAGCTCTCTACCAGCGACCAATGGGATGGCACATTTTGATGGAATGCAGAGGCGGAGCAACAGCTCAAGGTCCACGCCTCGACTCCTTCCTGGGACCTGAACTCGATACCCTAGATACAAAGTATTGGATGGAACAACTGATAGATCTCGGTTCAAATGCATCTTAACCACAGGATTGGGGATTCAGGAAAGGATGGACGAGAGGCCGTGTTGTTGACGGGAAGAGGCTAAGAGAAAAGGTTTAATTGCATATCTACCCAGCAGCGAGATGTAGTACTCTGTACCTACGGACGCAGGAGCTACAGGTACAGGCTTAACGAGGGGTCCCCCTGAGGTACGATGTAAATAACCTAACCATCTGGATGCAGATCTGCGATGCCTTGCTTGCTGCTGCTACGTTGCTGCCCTGGCATCCCGGCACCCTGCCCTGGTTGACGCAGTCGTGTCGCCTCACTGAGGTGCGTAGTACCTTGCTCTGTATCCGTAGGCAACGTAGACAGCACCCAGGTATTCGTACGCAGTAAGGTAGGGTGTTGACTTGCAGCCGGTTGCCCACTCCGACCGACGGATAAGGAAGGGTAATTCTGCAAACATCGCGCCTACATCACTACGCAGTCCACACCGCGGTACTGCTTCTTCAGTTTCTCTTGCTCTCTCGCTCTGCTACTGACGCTGACGCTGACGCTGTCTCTCTTTTCTCCATCGCACCCTCCCTCCGACATCTTCACCGCTTCGCCTTCCAGTTTGACACCTCAACGCATCGCGTTCTCTGCAGCTTCCCCCAACGAAAGCTTCGCCAGCCAATCGACTAGAGCACCTCTGTCTTTCGTTCCATCGTAGCGTAACGCACCTTAGCGACAGCTCAATTCGATCCTTCCCCAGCCAGTCAATCCAATCTTCATCCAACGCTTCCTCGGCGAAGAAGCTCCGATAGATCCATCCCGGCCGAACAATTCCTGTATCGTAGTCGCAATCGTATCGTCGTCGCAGTCGCAGTCGCAATGGCCGAAGTCGGACTCTTCACCGATGACCTCGTCTCCCCTACCGTCGCCGCTGCTCTGCCCGAGGGCTATATCGTGCGTGCTCTTCGTCAATCCGACTACAACACCGGTTTCCTCGACTGCCTGCGTGTTTTGACTACCGTCGGTGACATTGGCGAGGCCCAATTCGCGGAACGCTACCAATGGCTGTCCAAGAGTGACGGATACTACATTCTCGTCATTGAAGACACAAGTACCAAGACCGTTGTTGGAACGGGTGCCTTGATCGTCGAGCGCAAGTTGTCAGTTTCAACCACCCACAATCGCGTACTCCAAGAGTCCTACTGACCTTTGCTCCCCCGTACAGCATCCACAACCTTGGTCTCGTCGGCCACATCGAAGATATTGCCGTTGCAAAGGACCAGCAGGGCAAGAAGCTTGGCTTGCGCATCATCCAGGCCCTGGACTTCATCGCAGCCAAGGTCGGTTGCTACAAGAGCATCCTTGACTGTAGTGAGGCCAACGAGGGCTTCTACGTCAAGTGCGGCTTCAGGAGAGCCGGCCTCGAGATGGCCCACTACTACGAGGGAGACAAGAGTAAGGCCCAGTAGCCTTTTGTTTATCGCCTCAAGACTCTCCCACAACGGTCGTCCCGTCCCATATCAGACCGCCTCGGCTGTCCGGACCCGGATTCGACTCCGTTCGCTTTCGCATTACAGGCTCGAATAGCATCGGTGAGCTGCTGATGTTGAGTACTAGGACTGAAGCTCTAGTTGCTAGAGATACCAGATGCTAGATCAGACGAGCGCCAAGCTCGCTTTCGAGGAGACCAGAAGAACGACATAATGAAGAATATAGACCCATCAACCACCTGCATCCTTATTCTTTACTAGACCTCTTACTTGAGACCTTCCGCCCCATTTCAGATTCGTCTAGTATCATTTGATCAACCTCGAAACTTGACATGTTCAGGCATATCACATACTTGTCTCCAACTTGGCCGGCCTTTAGCTTGCTACTGACACACTGACACACGCCGCAGTCGCCTATGTGGCTTATGTCTGTTTCCTTGGTGTCCTGTCGTCAGGCCAACGATTTCTCGTCCGGCCGCAGAAAGGGCTGCACTGCACCACTGCGTTTACTATGGTCACCTTCAGATCACTGCTAACCTGTGTGCGCACCCGAGTGGCTGGCACTCGTGACATACTTTGGCCTTTCTCAAAGCGCCATCCAGGGGGAGCCTGTCTGCGGCGCCAGAAGCTTACGGCATGGAAAGGGTCTAGCCGTCTTGCCCGTGGCAGGCCGGTCGGATCGTCCGCCATTGAATCGTGGATCGTCGAGAAGCTGCCCCCGCGTTTCACATGCTTTGACTGAAATCGGTTTGGTTTCTCTGACGTCTAGTCCCTCGCATTCTTCATTTCGAACAGTGTGTATCCGTAGCAGTTGATGCTGTTCCCGTTGCTCCTGCAATGGATGCTTTGTTAGGTAAGTCTGCAGTGGCGCGGGAGTTGACAAAGGATTATGGCAATTGAGTAGAGTGAGACCGGATCCAGGTAGTGGTCAAGCCGTACAACCTCCGGCCATCTCCGTCATCGTTGCGGCGAAACCGCACACACGGAGACCCGCCTCGCTTCTTCCGCACTTCATCGGAGCTTCCCCCTCCAAACACCCAGGCGCACCGCAATGTGAGGCAGCTCGGGCAAAACGTCAGAGTCAGGGCTTTTCAATTTTGGGTGCTTCGTACGCCTCACGGATCCTTCACATGTGTGGCCAAAGCGCCTCTTCGTCGCAAATGGCTGACGGGAGCTGACCATGGCGCTGTCGTATAAGACAGCCGGCCACCATGTCCCCTTTTTTTTCCCTCCTGAGGTGCAGTCGCAAGCGTCTCACGATCGGACAACGGATATCCCCAACTACCAAAGTCCGAAGAAAGCACCACCGAACTATATCATAAGTCTGCAAGTCCATCCCTTAGAACTCCGAGCGCGCGTCGTCATTGGATCCATCTGGCGTCTGCAGATCCAAGGTACATTTCATTATTATTATATAAATTAGCTTCTGCACCGTTGCACTCTGTCTCCCACCATGATTGAGGACCTGCATTCTGCCATTGTTCGCGTGCGAATTGCTTCACTTCAGTCAGAGTAAGTCACCATTGCTATGTTACTTCCCTATTATTGATGCGCTTGAAATTGCGTGAAAGCACCTGTTGTTCTATACTACAAAGAATTAGTCTGCCGGGCGACAATATGCTGATCTCACCACCAGAGTCCTAAGCAAAACCTCCAGCCGAGAAGTTGTTCGCCGCCGAAGCAGCAGCAAAGTCAAGTCGATTCACGTTGCCAAGGGTCGATTGCCACTGTTCACGAAGCAAAGAACCGTTCGGGTTGTTTCTTAGAAAAATAAAATCATGTCGCCGCATAAGCTTCCGGAGCAGGATGGCAAGCGGCAGTGGGCGATGGGCACTGAGGCCTTTGAGAGGACCATGCCTCATCACCAGGGTATCAAGGCTCTCTGGGAGACCAAGTGGAAGTTTCCGGTATGCACGACACAAGTATCAGTGACGGGGACACGCATGCTGACTGGCTCACTATAGTGCACCAAGAGCGTTTATCCTTTCCACGATGGGCAGTATGAGGACTTTGAGCCCATTTTCGAACACTTGATCAAGGTAAGCTGCTTCTGAAGAAATGGATTGTGGGAAAAGGGTCTAACAGTAGGCAAGAACAACATCAATGATGGAAACTCCACCGCTTACACGGAAGCCTTCTTCCCCATCGCCGAGTCTTTGACCTTCAGGGGTGACGAGGCCATCATGGCCGGCAACAAGAAGGAAGCAAGCGACTTATACCTCAGAGCCTGCACGGTCTACCGCATCGCGCGGTTCCCTTACATTACGGCATACCCGGAAATCAGCTGTCAGGTCAAGTGGAAGGCGTGGGAGGCCCAGAAGCGCGCGTACATGAAGGCGGCGCAGTCGTGGGATTGTCCCATTGACGAGATTGATATCCCACACGCCCACGCCAAGGGTGGAGACTGGAAATCCATCCCGGCGTACGTGAGAGTGCCTCAGGGCGCATCCGAGAGCAAACCCAGCCCCGTGGTAATCCTCATGACGGGTCTCGATGGGTACCGTCCTGACAACACTGTCCGCTCCGACGAGTTCCTTGCCCGCGGATGGGGTAGTGTCATTGTCGAGATCCCCGGCACGGCCGACTGCCCCGCCGATTCGGCCGACCCCGAGAGCCCCGACCGTCTGTGGAGCAGCGTGCTTGACTGGATTGCCGCGGATGGCCGGTTCGACACCAGCCGGGTTATGGTCTGGGGTCTCAGTTCGGGAGGATACTATGCCATTCGTATTGCGCATACGCACCGCGACCGTCTGATCGGGTCGATTGCGCAGGGTGCTGGGTGTCATTATTTCTTTGACCCCGAGTGGCTGGAGAAGGCTGACGGCCACGAATATCCGTTCCAGTGAGTAAAAGATTCTCAGAGTTCTTGTGGGGACTGAGTTGCTGACGAGTTCACTACAGGTTGACGCCCGCCATGGCCATGAAGCATGGTTACAAGTCCGTGGAGGAATACAAGTCGGGTGTGCAGAAGAAGTTTTCACTGCTGGAGACTGGTATCATTGAGCAGCCCTCGACGCGTCTGCTGCTCATCAACGTAAGTTTATGAACTCATTCAATCCGTCGTTGGGGGTAAGTGACTGACACCGATGTAGGGTACTTTGGACGGACTGATGCCCATAGAGGACTCCATGATGCTGTTCGAGTACGGCACGCCCAAGGAGGCCAGGTTCTTCTCCGGGGCGCTGCACATGGGATATCCCATGGCCAACGGGTCGGTGTATCCTTGGATGGAGAGCGTCATGTCTAGCAAGATCTAGGCCTAGTGGATGTAATTAGAACCGTCGTGTAAGCTGTAGTAATGTTGCATGGTTCACGACACTTGGACTATTCGTTTCGCGGCAATGGGCTTTCAACCCATCCTTGAATGGTCATTTGTTCTTCATTATTCTCATCTAGACAGTTGACAGCCCTCACCATACCTAGGTATCTTCCGTCTCCCAGAACCTCTTCACCGTCCCATCCACCCGCCATCAACAACCAAAACATGCCCACTCACATACCCACTCGCCCGACTCGCAAGATACACCGATGTGCCCTTGAAATCCTCAGGCGTACCCCACCGCCCAGCCGGGATTCTCGCACTGATACTCGCCAGGCGCTCCTTATCGTTCAACAACGCCGTGTTCATCTCCGTCTCAATGTACCCCGGCGCGATGGCATTCACCGTGATGCCCTTGGACGTCCACTCGTTGGCAAAGGACTTTGTCAGCTGGCCGACGGCGCCCTTGGAGGCGGCGTAGGCGGGGACGGTGAAGCCTCCTTGGAAGGTGAGGAGGGAGGCGTAGTTGATGACGCTGCCTTTGCGGCCGGTGGTCGGGTGAGGGGTCAGGGTGAGCATGTGGGCTCCTACGTCGCGGGTTATGGTGAAGACGGAGGTGAGGTTGACTTGCATGACCTGTGTTGCGGTGTGTTAGCAGCTGTCCTCTTTCCTGTGCTGTCCAGACGGTCTGTATATTAGGTAAAAAACTCACGGCATTGAAATCCTCATCGGGGAACTTTTCACACGGGTGCCTCTTCTGGATGCCCGCACAGTTGACGAGGATGCGAATCTCGTGGCCATCTTTCAGGACTTTCGGCACCAGCGCGGCGACGCTCTCCTGCGAGGACAGGTCGGCGGTGTAGATTGTCGCTTTGCGGCCGAGCTCCTCGATGGCTTGCTTTGTGGTTTGGGAGGACTCGTCGCGCTGGACGAGGAGGACGTCTGCGCCGGCCTCGGCGAGGCCTAGGGCTACGGCGGCGCCGATGCCGCGGGTGCAGCCTGTTACAAGGGCTGTTTGGCCTTCGAGGGAGAAGAAGGAGGATGCCATTTTGGGGGAGGGGATGTCAATGGACGGTGGACAGACAGATGGACAGAGAGGTGGAGGAAGACTCTGTGTGAGGTTGTGTGGTGAGGGAGGGTATCACGATCGTAACGGGGAAGCAGTGGGAGAAGAAAAGCTTGGGAAGATGCGTCTGGATGGGATAGCTATATGAATGGAGAGGTGTTTGAGGTGAGTGGACATTGATTGGGCGAGGTCGGAGCAACATGTCGATTCGTAATTCAGTACCTACCTAGGTATTAAGGGAATTCACGGATAAAAGATCATCAAGCTTGTTAACGGTATTGTGCTCTTTTCCCCCGGCGAAACGGACAAGCTTTTGAGACTGGGCAAAGCTAACCTCGAGTCACCGAACGATCCCCGGTACGAAGACCGCGTCCGATTCTCCCCCAAGCCAATAACTTTCTTATGCTACGTACTTGAGCCTGATCTTGGACAAACTGCCATGACGGTGGTTACCAAAGTCATTCATGCTCACGCAAAAAAAAAAAAAAAAAAAAAAAAAAGTGAGTAAAAATAGGAGATGTACACCTGACACCACGGCATGGAAAGTCATCGACGCGGGGCAATTCGCGGCGGGAGTCTCACGATTCAAGCTGGAGTGAGGTGCGGGGCATTTTCGTGTGTGTTGTACCGTGGTACCTGATGTACTCGATACTCTTTTTTTTTTTACCCCTCCATTGCAAGGGTTCAGGGGACATCTCCAACCGTGACTCTCTGACGTCGTTTTTCGTGACTTTGGGTCTCAAGCATCTTTTTTTTTCTTCTTCTTCAATCAACCCTTTGTATACAATCAAGTGCCGTTAATGCCTGAAGAATCCGAGTATAGCATGCGATCTCTACTGTAACATGGAATTGACCAAGACTGATTGACATTGAAGCGTCGAAAGTGACTTGGGGGCGAAAGCAAAGGGACCAGCAGACTCGAGCTGGTACCCCCACGTAAGAAAACGCTAGGTGACGGTAAAGTGGGATTAGTCGATGGCCTTCTCCCCGCACGTCGGAGAAGACACGAAAAATAGTCACGATGGGTGGGGAAGAGGAGAAGAAGACAACGGGAAAGAGAGACGAAGAGGAGAATGATGGCTTTGGCCCAGACTAGAGCATGAGAATAGGACAGAACCCGAGTCTTCTGCGAATCACCGACGCTGTAATTGTCAATTCTCGATTGCTCTCGGGCTGTCTTACCAATCGAACCTTACTCGAAGGGATGGCCTAGCTGTAACTGTTCCTTTTCTTAGCTTTTCCTGGTGTACCTTATACAACTGTAGGGGAAAGATACGTACAGTACAAAGGAAGCCCAGGTCCAGGTCCTTCCTCGCCTTAGGACAGAATTGCCGTGTTTGGCCTCCGCGGCCGTTTTCTCCAGCCCCCGCGACGGATCCCCTCTGACTTTTCGGCGTGTATTGCCCATATTGGATGGGGGTCAACTTGAACTTCCACTTTGTATGAGTTGAGTAACAAAAGTATCCATAACCCGCGGGTATCAAAGGAAGAGACTGAGAGACTGGAACTGGGCAATTGGGCAATTGGGATTGCCCCTCCCCCTCTTTCCACACCCGCCCCCCTCCACTCCCGTCGTTGCCATCAAGATTTCCCATCCCGCAACATCCACCATTGAACCAATCCACGATGCGCCTCGTCTTTTGAGGCGGACGCGGCATTCTTTCCGGCAAGCTCAAACTTGAACTGTCCAAGTTACCTAGTCATGTCGACCGGTTGCCTCTCCACAACTCCACACGAACCGCGTCCAACAATGCTCTCTCCCTCGAGGGTATCCGTATGATTAGTCTTCCCCCTCTTTCCAGCACTGTCCAAGTGTCGCAAGTGTCACCATGTCGTACAAGGTACTGGATACACTGGCCAGCACCGGCAGTAATCTTGAAGCTCGCGCACGACTCTCTAGGTTCCAGTAGCTTTGGAGGCTGGGGGCTGAGTCCATTGAGATGGACATTTCGGCGTACTTGTACTCGAGCCGAGTTGGAAATTCCTTACTCGGCTATAGATCGTGTTAACTAGCAGCTTCGTCGGTTGACTTGGTAGCTTTCCCCCCACCGACCAAGTCTCTCTCGTAACCCGCATTTCCGTTTTGCATCACACGCCTCCGCCGATTCGCGTCCAACCCCAGTAGCTTGACTTAAGTCGCGTTTTCCGATCCGTCGATATCGGACTTGTGTTTAGCCATACGTACCTTTGGCTCTGCTCTGCTCTTGACCAAAAAGTAAAGCATACTCATAACTGCCTGGCCTGCCCGCTTTCTCGCAGCTTCCGGACACTTGGAATCACTTTCGCAACTTACATACCACCCCTTTCACAATACCATCGTAGCTCTTCTTTCCTCTCTCTGAATCCCCACTACACCTCGCACAGCAGTAAGAGTACATAGCCCACCATGTCAAGTGTCCAAGTCCAGACCTCCGTCCTCCACGGCGCGAGAGACCTCAAGATCGTAAGTTAATATTATTCTTTAGCGCTGGGAGCCCCAGACGCACCATGGCAAGATCTGACGAAGAGCGACAGGAACAAAGACAACTCCCCGCCCTCGCGCCAGGCGAAGTCCAAGTCGCCGTAAAGGCCACCGGCCTCTGCGGCTCCGACCTGCACTACTACAACCACTTCCGCAACGGCGACATCCTCGTGCGGGAACCCTTGACCCTCGGCCACGAGTCCAGCGGCGTCGTCACCGCCGTCGCTTCAGACGTCTCCAACCTCGCCGTCGGCGACCACGTCGCCCTCGAGGTCGGCCAGCCGTGTGAGGCCTGCGAGCTCTGCGCCGCGGGCCGCTACAACATCTGCAAGGGCATGAAGTTCCGCAGCTCGGCAAAGGCGTTCCCGCATGCTCAGGGTACCCTCCAGGAGCTGGTGAACCACCCGGCCAAGTGGTGTCACAAGTAAGAAATTCCCGGCGCAAAACCCTCTCGTAGCTCTCAAGCGCAAATCAAAAAGTAGACTGACCTCAAAAACCTTAGACTCCCCTCAGAAGTCTCCCTCGAATTCGGCGCCCTCGCCGAACCCCTCTCCGTCGCAATGCACGCCCGCGACCGCGGCAACCTCCCCAGCAACTCCACCGTCCTCGTCTTCGGCGCCGGCGCCGTAGGCCTCCTCTGCGCCGCCGTCAGCAAGGCCGACCAGCAGCGCGTCGTCATCGCCGACATCCAGGCGGACCGCGTACAGTTCGCGCTCGACAACGGCTTCGCGGACGCGGGCGTCGTGGTCCCCGCCGAGCGCCCGCAGACGATCGAGGACAAGCTCGCGTACGCGCAGAGCGTCGCGGAGCTGGTGAAGAAGGCCGAGGTTGGGGGCGCGGCGGTGGGCGAGGTGAATGCGACGTATGAGTGTACTGGTGTCGAGACGTGCATGCAGACTGCCATCTTTGTGGGGTTTTTTTTTCTCCTTCTTGTTTTCTGAACCGTTCCATCCTTTTTCTTCTTACACACAGCATGTGCTGACTTCAACTCCTTCAGTCCACCCGCCCAGGCGGCAAGATCCTCATCATCGGCATGGGCACCCCGATCCAGACGCTGCCCATCTCGGCGGCGGCGCTGCGCGAGGTCGACTTTGTCGGCGTGTTCCGGTACGCCAACACGTACCCCAAGGCGATTGACCTCATCGCCACGAAACCAAAGGGCCTGCCCGCGCTCGAGAAGCTGTTTACGCACCGGTACAAGGGGCTGAGCACCATCAAGGACGCGTTCGATATGGCGGCCAAGGTGAAGGATGAGAGCGGGAATCTGGTGCTCAAGGTTTTGGTGGATACGTCGAATTAGATGAAGTCGTTTTAGCGGAATTTCAATAAAAAGTGATTATTAAGTTGAAATTTGGGAAAGGTTGTTTTTGAGGGGACTGGTGATGTGATGAATGATGTGAAGTTTTGGAGCATCCCATTAAGACAGTTGGGATGTGGAGAATATCATGGATAATGAGAGGACGACGAACACCCAACGCAAAGAAGTGCCTCACATCACCCATTATTTGGACAAATTCCTCCACAACAAGCACCGACACTTTCGCTGTGAACACAAGTACGCTTCAAATCATTTCTATTTCTTTCGCTCTATTTATACGGCAGAATGGACAAAATCTACGACTTATCGGGGAACCCAAAGTCGATACCAAACGGCGGGTAC